CAAGCATAATTGTAGCCTCCTCCCTACTTCTCTCCTTCAGTCATTCTAATATAATATTTGGACCAAAAAAATCGCGTGGAACTATAAATATATGCTGCCATATACAACGTTAGTAACAATATAAATAGTGAATAAATCTAACAAAATGGCTCACTAGCGAATTTAGGTATACTAGAAAAAACACCAAAAGTGCATCCATTTTATTACATTCATTTTGGTGATTTTACATATTTTATATCAGTAACGGAGTAATTTCACCGTATCGTCAGCTTAGCTCCCCTTGTTATATATAATCTCCCCTCTTCTTATTTTTCTCTTGTTGAAAGGGTACAAGGGAAAGGAAATCTAAGAATGTCTCGTCTTAGAAAAAAGCATCTCATTTTAACGTTGTTGTTAGGGCTATGTTTTTTGGTCTTAACAAATGTACAGCAAGCAGAAGGCGCCATTAGGGTTTTCAACCTACCGGAAGCTACAACATTAGTGGCGGAGGCACTCCCTCGAGGTCCGATACCGCCGTCCGCTCCGTCTCCGTGCACCTATATTCCCGGCTCCGGTACCGGGGAATGTACTCTGAAAGCAAAGCACTTCGCCGGCCGATTAGTCGTCCTTCGGCTCCAATCTCTATCAAGTAATAACTAGTCCAGTGTGGCTGTAAATGTTATACTCTTTTTTTTTTTCTTTTTCTTTTTCTTTTTTGTTTCTTTACGAGCAAATTTAAAACACAAACTAAATTACCATATTATCAAGGCTCTTAATTGGCTAACTTCAAAAAACTTTATTTTTTATTATTTTATTTTTTTGGTTGGTTTCGACTTTCGAGGATATAGGGAAGGGGTGGTAAAACACTTTATCTTCCTTATTGCTTAGATTCTTTATGTCATTAACCAATTTAATCTATGGTTAGTGCATCCTATATATAGTATTTTGGCACATTGTATAACGAGAGAAGAGAATATCTTTTTTCTTATTTGAGTTTACCAATTGGACAGTATTTGACGGACATGTCCTGATTTTGAATATAGTATAATATTTTGTACTAATTGAAAATTCGTGATAATGATTATGATTCATGAACATGCAGTACCGTTTTAATATTTTGCATTTCCCGTACACGCACGACTTTATAAACGTCATAATACCCGAATCAAAATGGACTAAAATATTTTGATTTTTTTTTGGGGGACGAGTAGAATATATAAGAGTATAAAATTGAATGGGTGAATGGCAAAGTTGACCAGCTGCGCCATCTAATTCCATAAGATGCTATTCCCTTATGAAACATGCTCCATATTTGGCTAGCTCAACCATTCACGTCAAAAAAAAAAAAAAAAAAAAATTCCCTGCTTGACTTCAATTTCAGGACGCCAAAATTAATAAAACGCACTTTTAATTAAAATTTAACAGAAGACGGATAAATTCATTTGCTGCCCGCCTTATAAAAGTCATTTTCCACTTAAATTGTATTTTCTCTGAATTGACTTTTACAACTAAAATTAACTCATTAGTCATTACCACTCTTTCCAGCCATTAAACAAGTATTTTTTTTAATGCTTATTTTCTTTACCTTTGAATTCCTTACATCTAATCAAAGGTCCGATCTCAATTTCCATGAGATAAGAGTGTACGGAATCACCACCTCTCATGCAAAATTAATGTAATTAATTAGTTGAAAACTTTAGTTTGGGCAGAATAATTATGCAAGTGGTTCAAGTGAAGAAAATATTAACATTAGTGACGTGCTATAATGCTTGATGCATTAGGGCCAATGGTGGAATGACTCTTGTATGGAGGTGTAACTGGGATCAATAGTTCCATTTTAATTACGTGTTTGTATAATAATACAACAATTTCTTCTTTTTTTTCACATTCCTAATGAAAAGACGTAATTTCTTAATTTTATGATTCAATATAGCTCGGGGGATAACAGAAAAAAAAAATCCAAAATACACAAAACAAGTATAACAAAAGAATTAAAAGAATTGTATTAACCTTAATATCATTTACATGGGGCCAAAATATTAAAAAGTTGAAAATCAAATAAAATAAATAAAATAAAAGAATTTCGGGAAGAATAAACATTGATTCTTCATCCTCCCTTTTGAGATTAACGAATCTCTTTTCTATTCAAAAAAAAAAAAAAGAAAAAGAAAAAATCCCTTCAAGAATGGATATAAACAGAAACTATAAATATACTATATATTTGGTTTAAACCATCTTGCAAATCCTAATTAAACTTGAACTTGCTGATCAAGTCCGACTGACCGGAACCAATGGAAGACCCCCGGCCGGAGACAAATCGCCCCCGGTTAACCGGGAGGGCAGCCGGGGCCGCCCTCGTTTCCGCCTCCGGGGATGTAAGTACAACTAGTTGGTCCAGAAGGAGGGACCGGACCTTTAGGAAGTGATTGAAGCAATGAATGAACTTTGTCCATCAAGCCTTCTTGATTTTCTCCATGCAATAAAAAATTTCTACAATCGCCTTGTCCAAATTGAAGACAAAGAAGAACAATCAAAAGTACAGAAATGAAGAGACTTGAACGGCGTTCCATTTTGGTTGGTTTTGATTAAGAATGTTTTTGTTGTTTTTGGTTGGTGTAAAACCTGTTTTGGGAAGGTATATATATAAAGAGGGAGAATGAGTAAAGAACAAGGAATTTGAATGTTGACTATATACGATGTAATCAAATTGTAGTTTGTGAAAAAAAAATTGTTGTAATTGAATAAGTCAAAAAAGATTTAGTTTGTGATCTAATTAATACTGTTTTAATTTTGACTGTAATTAAATATATGTAGTCAAATGTTTATAGTGGTGCCAACTAATTAGAGAGTTGGTAATTAACTCGCAGTACACGGATCTTTACCGTATACTGATTTGTTTTGACACTTTCACATAAACTGTTACAATTCGGGATTTAGAAGGAGATTGGAATCTCTTCCCATCTATTACTACTTCAGGCGTGTTTGAAATGTGTGTGTGCGTGTGTGAACATTATTATTATTTAGAAAAACATTCACGTCGAGCTACTGATATGCTTTTTGTCTCGTAAAAAATAATTGATAGTGTAATTATAAATTATTTAAACGTAGATTATTACTTTTATTGGGCGATTAGAGTATTATATATGATCGACATGTTTGCAATATATAATAGGGGGAAATGTTTGATGGCCGAAGGGTTTAGCTAAAAACGGGCTAAGATTAATGCTCCCTGGGTTATATACATTTTTTTTTTTTTTTTGACGAATCCTTTCAAAATCATTGCGTAATAGTCTTCTACTCCCTCCGTCCCATAATTATTGTCCAGTTTGAGTTTTCATTTCTAGTTCAAATTGTACTAAAAGTGAAATCTCAAATTGGACAATAATTTTGGGACAGAGGGAGTATTACATATGATAGCCACACTTTACCTAAGAAATGTGGAAATTTTAAATAGGGTTAATTTGCGATTAGCTTCCACCTTATATAAAGAAGAAGAGTGAAATAATAGGTGAGATAATTTTTTTTTTGGGTATTTATTAATCTGATCTTAAATATTACTCCCTCCGTCCTATAATTATTATTCTGTTTGGGTTTTCATTTTTAGTTCAAATTGTATTAAAGCTGAAATCTCAGACCGGACGGAGGGAGTACTTTCTTACGTCCTCTATTTTAAATTTATAAATAGGATGAGTGAAGTATATTTGCAGACATATTGCGGTCGTAAAGACTAACACGGGATTTCCTTGCTAAGAAAGAAAAGAATGAGCGAGCAAAATACGTGTTTGCTTATCTCATACACGATTATCTAACATAAAAAAAAAAAAAAAAAACCCAAAAAGACTACTTGGAAACTTGTCAAAAGTTGGTTAATTTTCCATTTTATTGAAAGTTAAATCAGTAGTCACCCTCGTACAGTATAACATATACTCCCTCCGTCCCATAATTATTGTCCACTTTGCCCAAAAAATTTTGTCCCAAAATTATTTTTCAATTTGACTTTTTATGAATCAAGTTACACATTTGTCCTTAGTAAAAAACATTATCCATTAAAATCTTTGTGGTTAAACAATTACTTATGCAGGGGTATATCCGGTTGTTCAAGGTAAAATATAGTTAAGTTTGACTAAAAATAAAATCTTTTATTTTAGTAAAACTGGACAATAATTATGGGACGGAGGGAGTAGTAGCTTTGTTTGACAGAAAAAAAGATTTAAAAAATAAAAATAAAATAAAATAATTATAAGTTATTCATTTTGAATCCATTTAGTCATTAGCTGAGATTTGGAAAATAAATTTGTGGAATTCGTTGTTAAGGAATTTCCTAGGAATGAGATACAAAACTAATAACGTTGTATCTGATATTGGACTATGTTTGGTTGACTGACCTAAGTTTTGAAATTTTATGTTTCAGCACTATTAGCTGTATTTATCTTAATTTTCAAGTCGCGAAATGGAGAAGAGGATCTTAACCTAACGGTTAAAATTTAAGTAAAATATCAAAATATGAAAATGGATTTTTTTTTAAAAGACATAAACACAAAATTGATCCATATACAAGATTTAAAAGAAAAGGATCCTAACCATGGTAGATGATATTAGACATATGGATATGATTTCGGACCTAATTTATTAGTTTAGAAAGGATTAACAATCATGCTAGGAAACAATACTTCCTTTATCTCAAAAATGATATAAGAAATAAAATAATCATGTAAAGACCACAGGATAATTTTCAACACAGCAGAATACTTACCAATTGCCAATTTCTCAAAGCCTAAAACTCATTTCCCAGTAAGAGTAAAAGCAAATTTGCACGTTATATAAATGGAAACAAATGCAAGCAACACTCTTTACAGTATTGTTCTTTTGAAGGGAAAAACAAAAAAAAAGAAAAGAAAAAAAGTAGAGTTACAACTTCACTCCCAAATCTATGTAAACCAATACTTTGCCCTCGAATACATTATTACAACGGATAACGACCCCTCAAATTCTAGGGCCATCTCTGTTGCATTTTCGAGTTTTCAGTGTCCATTTGAAGGACGGAAAACAGTATAACTATTGACACCGGATGCCCTATTTAAGTAATCAGGAATGTGCTGATATGGATAAATGTCCCCTTCAATATTCCTCGTACTAATATAGGACCTATCTGAAACAGCCATCGGCCACTGGCTCGGCATTAGGCCATCCATGTGCCCGTTACTGTAAGGTCTTATATTAGCCGGAGGAATCATGTCCCTCATTGTATCATAAGGTCCCCCCGAAGAACCATAACTGCTTTGATGGAACCCATCATCGTGATAACTTCTTGTTCTCTCAAATCTACAACTTGTCGATGTACCCATATCATTTGACAAGCCAATATTACCTGATACGCCAACATCACCCGGGAATGAAAACTGCCTATTCAGATGATGGAGCCCATTGCTGTAACTATGAAATCTGGAACTTGCGGTGGCTGTCCTCCCCATGACTTGCTCATCATCCAACAGATCATTGATGATATCAAGGTGTGGAAATTCATCTGTTAATGCCCCATGAGTCTGGCGCCCCGAGGTGCAAGGTGGAAACTCGGGCTGATGGTGATCCTGAGATCTGCTGTTTATAGGTTTGTACGCCTCAAAGCTCCTTATGTCACTCAAGGACAAAGGACTACCAGATATGCTGGCACTTGCATCCCTTTGAGGGCCCTCATTCCACTGCTGTCCATTTGCCAACACATCAGGATTTACCATTCCAAATGAGAAGCTCGATTTGTTAACATTTTGTTCCACTCTTTCTGAAGAATGTTGTAAGAAAAATGGCTTAGCCAGTAGAGCTGCTGACTGTGCATACGAATGCGATGTGTTGACCCCTGAACTAGGGGAATGAGGTTGCGTAAAGCCGACAGAACCTCCAGTCACATGGTTACCCATCATCACATTTCGATAAGACTGAGGGACATAGTTATGTGATGCTGTTGATGGTTCAGGACCTAAACGACCAGCTGCGCTGACAGAACGTGACAATAGTGGAGGGGTCTGAACCAAGGAAACCACCGGAGGAGCTGGTCTAGGACCAGGAAATATAGGAGCACTTAATGGTCTAGACATCATAGGCGATTGAGGTGTCGATGAATTCTCAGTTCCTGAGTGCACCTGTTGTGAAGGAAGATTCTCTGAGGCACTTGGAGCAATTCTTGTATAGCCAGAAGGTTTGGACGTGGCTAGAACTTCAGCTGAATTGGGACTTTGGGCAGAGCCATTAGTTTGTTTCAGGCTTTCTGATTGTTGTTTCTTAACTGGAGAACCAGCGGCATTGATCCGTGCATTTGCCGATACATCAGCAGTAGAAGAAATATTCTTAACAGGGCTCCTTGGGGGGGATTGCACAACACTTCTCTTCTCTGAGGGAAGTTGCTCAACTTCAGTTTCATCTTTTGCACCAAGCTTCTTTGAAGGAGATGCTTCTTCATCCTGTCAAGAAAGAACCCATGTGATTACAGAAAACTGATACAAGTATCACCATGACTGCCAAAAGATTTACTAAAATAAAATCAGAAGCGCATTTCAGAGTACCATATAAATGCTCTAACAGTAGACATAGTAACATCTATCGTAGTGAAGAAGCACATTAAAGAGGAAGTACTTCTCTTTCAGGCTTTAAGTACAATCAGCATGCATAGTTAGACTTGTATCCTCAAAGTAAGAATAAACTAAAACTCCAGAACAACACGCTGTACTGCACAATTACAAGAACACCATGAACCTGTACTTTGATCCCTGTACCGCACAATTACAATAACACCATGAAGTTATGATATACTAAGAGGAAAAATACCTTTTTCAGCTGTTGCTTCTCCTTTTTCAACTGTTGCTGTTTAAGCCGCTTGGTCTGATCTAACAAGTCAACAGTTACATTAGACCTGTCAGTTGTCCCAGATGCAAGCCAATCTGATGCTACCTCCAAAGGTTGGCTAGATGTTTCTTCAGACCAATCAGATACATCACAGTTTGCCCTACTTTGCTCAATCCGCCTGTATAAGACATCAAAACTTTACCATCTATCCATTACAAAAGGTAGAATAATAAACTAGAAAAGGACTAAAATGACACCTGGTAGCTGATTTCTGATTCTTATTGGAAGCACTGTTTCCTTTATAAGAACCGTTAATTACTGAAGGAACTGAGTCAGAAGAACATGTGGAAGAGCTGTCATCCATCAGTGACGTACTTCTTCTCCCTCCAGCTCCATTTTGCACAGATGAAAGACCACTTACTTCACTGCTGCTGGCTTCGGTGGGGACATGCACTTCTGATGTGTCAGTGTCCCAATTAACAACACTCGTGTCCCTGTCCTCTGAATCAGGTTGAAGTGCCTCTGGGGCACAATCCACTGAATCAGACACATCAGAGACATCCTCAACAGCATTTTCCAGTTTTTCTAGAATCCCATCTTCCTCCTCCATCGTGTAATCTTTCATCACATCAGCAAGGCTATCTTGTTCAGCTTTATCTTGTAGGGTCACATTAGACTTCTCGTCCTTCACTTTGTCCTTTGCTTTGCGGTTGTTTCGCTTTTGCTTGCCCTTCAATGAAGAGAAACACTCATTAAATTTATTACTGGTAATGGGGAAATTAAATAAAAAAAGGTAACAAGCTAGATTGAGATGGAGAAAGGTAACAAGAAAAGATTAAATAAAAAAAGCAATAAATGAACAATAAAAAAGATGAAGCTGAGAAGGAATTTGGATTTAGAGATTAACCAGTAAGATTTCTACATTTATGATATGACTCAATTATTCTTATTGTCAACTATCATCTATACTTTAAGGAAACCCAGGCCTCAATGGACCGTGTATTCACGGTTTCAAGAAACCAAGCCAGAAACAGAAGTTATTATAATTATATCAGGAAGTGTAATAGATTACAAAAAAAAGCAGACCTTTGTTTTTTTTGACTTCTTTTCTTTATCAGCTCCACGTTTAGCTTTATGTTCAGTTTCAGCCATCCACGCAGCCTCCTCTTCACGAATAAGTTCCTCTTGCCTCTTTAAAGCAACAGCTTCCTGGTAAGCAACTTCAATTTTACTGCTGCAATAGATTGTCAATGAGAAGAAAAAATCAATATTCAATCAAACAGTACTGAAAGAAACTGATAAAATTGGAGGAAAGAAAACAGAAAAAGAAAAATGAAAAAAAAGAGATACTTCCCAGAATGCCAATCAGAGGAAAATTTTAAATATTAATCTAACGTTACTGAAAGAAAAATCAAACAAAGCTAATACCTGAAGATGTGGGCCAATACAAATATTTCGATTGTCCGACGACCAAGTTCAGTTAAGCGCCTTTCATCACGTTCAATGGAATCTTTATTGAAATCATCCCCAGAGCATCCATCCTGAAATGGTGGAGGGTTACTAATAAGAAAATGGCGTTATACCATGGAAACACAATTGTCAACATACCTAAAGAGTTTGAAAAAGAAAAAACAGAACAGTAAGCAGAAGATAATTTTTTCTCCAGTATTTAGGCTTAGAGATATGGCGGGCAAACAGTCAGATAACAATCAACAAAAACCACGCTACTCACCTTTGTTCGATTCTGAGGACCTTTATCATCCTTTGGAGGCAAAGGTTCAAGAGCAGCCCTCTCAAGGAGTAACAAAACATCATCCACCAAAACAAACGTATCTTTCTCCATACGAACAATAGGAACTGGTAGCTCTTCAGAATCAGCAGTCTTGCCCTTACTTTTCTTGCCCTTTGTCTGACCTTCTAAAGCCTTCAGCCCACTGTACAAGGAATCCATCACCAGGGTAGACGTAACTTCTTTTTCTATAAAGAAGTGCTTTACAATCACCTTCAAAATTGAATCTGTTTTCTCCCTAGACATACGGCGCCTAGAACTTTGCTCCATCCCCATCCAGAATGCACAGAAGCTACATGCAACACAAATAAGTGCTGCCATAATTATCACAATAGAAAAACAATTTCCGGGGCATAATAAATATAAGTAATCGAGAAACCTAGATGACAATCACTCATTGATATTGAACCTAATGATTCTAAAAGGAATAGGACCTTGGACATGGATTTTAGTCTACAAAAGGTAGTCGAAGAGGCATAACAAGCAATAAAAAGGTGTTAAAAAAATATTATGATCCTCTATGCTTCATGATTCAAGAAAGATTCATAACAAATTAAATTCAGAAGGCCATAAATTTCAAGGCAATAAATTCCCAACCAACATTCAGTGATGAATCAGAAAGTGAAATAGAACTAGGAAACCCACCCAAATCCATTTCAAAGCTGTTTCCAGAGACAAGACCAACAATAAATAGGGTGCTAAACAAAACCAAGCGTACATCAAAGCCAAAACATCAGAGCCACAAGTAGCAGAATATAACATCTTAATGGGTGCCAACTACAGAGGCTTAACAGACCAAATTTTCTAAAATCTCAAAACTCAAGGCCAAGAACCAAGGGGAAAAAAAATCCTATACCTTGACCAGCGAGCTTTATCCTCTATCAACTTCCCAAGCTTGCTGCGTCGCTCTTCCACAAAACGGCGGCATATTTGTTCCACATTTGTTAGATATACCCTAACAAGTTCTCTCCGATATTGACAATCAAGACAGCGGAAAGGACGATCTGCTCTCTCCCTGAGCAAACAATGACAGGTCCCAAACTACAATGAGTAAAATATACACCAACTATGTTGGAAAGAATGTTTCCCTACTTAGCATATTCTTCACCCAAAAAGTTCTCTTACAGAGAATTGACAAGCTAAAATTTCAAAAGTTGATAAAGCAGAAGAGAGGAGATAAACTACACATGGAGTCCTGAGTATTGGATGGCTGAATGAAGACGGATAGTGCATACTTTAAAAGCAACCGGCATTAGGCCCTGCTTCATTTTTATATTTATTATACTTTTACCATCATAACTTACTAACATTTGCATAGCTTAATATGAGTGTGATAACTTCCATGCTATGTAATTTTATGACAAAGAAGATTCAGGATGCTTTCCACGAGATTAGTTTATCATGTAACAGAAATGGGGCTGCGCTGTTTAGAAATTACTGGGGCTACACTAAACTACAAAAGAAACACTGCTTTTATAAAAAAATTAAAAAGGGCAGTGTATTATGAGCAGAGCATTAGTTGAAATTTGATGTTCAGAATAGGCTGCACAACACGAACAGGAAAAGAAACTAATACTAGATAAATTAATTTCTATTGATAGCATCACATAAAAAATGGACAAACAGCACCGTCATAAAGTCTAACCAACACTCATCCCTACCAAATATTAACTTGCTGAAAAGTCCATTCAGCAGTCAACCAGAAAAATCTTCAAGAAGGCACGTACCTGATTACTTGGACTTGCGCTTTTATAATTAGAGTGTCAGCATCAATAAAACCGTCTAACACTTTAGATAGCTCCATAAATTTCTTCCATCCCCAATCATGCTCCTTTTTCCAAAAACGGTGCAACGTATCTGCAAATTGTGTTTTGGCTTATTTGATACCATAGCAGATCAATAACAATTGACAAAGCATAGAGATATTTGATTGACAAACCTGAATACTTGGATTTTTTGGGATCTTTATTCACAACAGCAATTGTGAACTGAGCAAAGTGACTCCATCCTGCTTTTCAGAAGGAAAAGGCATGATAAGACTACAATAGAACAACATTGAACATTCTTGATACTCATTAAATGTCTTACAGAGTTCCTTTACCTGGAAGAAGCTTGTCATGATTAGCTACACAAAGAAACAAAGAGAGATGATTGCAGACATCACAACCTTGTGGGTAGATCAAAATGTACCTGGCAATAAATTCTCAATCAAGAAAAAATGCGAAAGAAATTTTGCACTAGATTGCTGGAATTGGCACAATAGACAGAGAGTTCAGTTTGTAACATGAAAAGTTGGCCATGAAATTGATAAAGTGCTATAATTACTAGAAACAAATTGAAGCTTTAACATGGCAGCAATCATTTATCCACTAAGTAAACAGAACAGGGCTACGATGCCTGTAATAGATCCAGTAAAGCTTTACAGATCTAGCAACATAGCAAATGAATTGTCATATCCTTCTTAAAAGTCTTATGTACTAAAGACAGCAACAAAAACAACCCTGTATTATATAGACAAAGCATAAATCAACAATTAAGTGTTTCTCCCACCATAATGGATCAGATATATGAACACCAAGCAGCCAACAAGTAAAAGGATCATTCTTGCCATTGTGCTCCATCAAAACACATCGTCATTTAAAATTTTTAAATGCCTAGTCTCTCTCAATATTTTCTTACAAAGCATTGGGGTTAATACTCTTTCTTATACACTAAGCACAATACCAAATATAAAAAAATCATACGAAAATTTCAAAACCTCTAACCCATACCAAATGAGCAACTTCATCCAAAGGATGGAAAAAGACATCTCGCTATTCAGTCCCCACAAGCTAAAAGCAGAATGAACCAACAACTTACTAAACATTTATCCAACTTCATGGGGTTAAAAGCCCTCATTTTTTTTTTCAAACTTTGATTCCTACCAGGAAATCATCAGCAAAAGCTTTAAAACTGTGAATCATAAGAAACAAGAGAAAAGAAAAGTGAAACTAATAACCAGATTGCATGTAATTCCCATCATACAGGCAATGCATATTTGGAGCATAAATTTGGTATATAACAAAGATTTCCTGGTAGCATTATGAAATACTTTATGTACAGAATCTTGCTATCCTGAAAATGGGAAACTTCAAAAGGAAAGGTACAGCAAACAGCTCTGACCACATATTGCATACCATTTGTAGCCTCCAACCTCAAAAGCATTACTTCGTAGTTCTCTCTTGTTTATTTGTGAAAACTTATCAATCTTCCATGTATACTTGCCATACAACTCAGAGGGTTTTGGTCCTACAATTTTTAAGAGGACAACAGAATAAATCAACAATATATAACCAAAACTATGATGTAAAACATTATTAGGAGAGGTCTAAGAGAGGTCTGGAAAATAGAAAAATGAAAACCAAAACCAATGCATACTCACTTGTTAGCCTTTTCTAGGACATCCTAATGTCAACTAGTACAGGTGCAAAGGAAAATTAAAGAAAAAGAGTAAGAAACATCTGAGCAAATTCATGTAGAAGCAACAACTGGAACCATTGACTGAGACAATATTTGCTACCACAAATCGGCTGGAAAATTATAAGGATAAAAATAAAAGTAAAAAGATTACTGCACACTCAGTCCTATTTCAAATTAGGAAGCTTTAAGCAAAAGGCTATTCTCATAAAATAAAGGCACTAAAATGAAATACGATCATTGGTTCAAAACCTGTTAATTACTTCATCAAAAAAAAAAAAAAAAATTTACAATGTTCCATGTCAAATAGGCACCATCATCCTAAAGAAGCCCTGTACTGTAGTTATTGAAACAAGGTTCATTGATACAATTTCCACATCGTTACGTGTCATAAAAGAAAAAAGTCATCACGAACTTCTGTAAGAATTGGCACATTATGAAATCTCTCTTCCAGCCACTAACTGTGGCATGATCACGTGATCCCAAAACGTTTTACCTCACTTGATTGGTTGCTTTGTAGAGATGGTTAAACAAAGAAATATATGCATATGACCACTCCGTAGGCTCAGTACATATACCAATCAGGACAGTGATAATGACCTGGAAAGCTACCAAGACGGCCACAAAGAAAGGTGCTGCATATAGCCAACAATTGACCACGGGCTCAATATACTCACTAATCATAATAACAATATCGAGCAAATTGTTTCCCATGTCCAATGCATAATGAATCGCAAAAACAACAAAGCCCAAAATTTAAGTGCATTACCTCCATCCTCATCGTCACTGTCCCAATAAGGAGGGGATGTTGATGGAGTTCCATTTTCCACCTGCTCACAAGACCTCCATTCTGCCAATGCTTCACCTGAATGACACCGCTGCTGGCCACCTGAAACCCCTTCTAAAGATCTCGCCACCCCAGCCTCATCAATTGCTATTGTAGCCATTTCAAACCCCACAACTTCCAGAAAACACCTCCAACTCCACCTACATCCATAGCACAATAAATCATAGACCCATGATGAACTCGTGTATTCCGAATGTATAACAAAAAAACAGTAACAGAATTCACAAGTTGAGCAATTCAAGCTTCAAATTTGAAATCTTTTTAATGAAAGACACAATCATGTTCATCAATGCTAAAAAAAAAAAGAAAAACACAATTCTTCAATCAATAAATTCAATCCCACAAAAACCCATCTCAGAACCTCCTCCAAGCTCAAAACCCCACATTTAAAAAATAAATTAAAAAAATTACAACAAACCCTTTCATCAAAATCCAAAAATCCAAATAAAATCGAAATCATATCCGCAGCGATTAATCAAAACACCCAAACAAACAAATTAAAACCCCTCCTCCATCCATTCTGTAATCAAAAGAAATACCTTCACATAAGCATCAAACACAAATCATCTGCCAAACCCAATTGAATTGGAACTAATATTGAAGTGCCAACTCCAAAACCCTAGACCCAATAAAGAAACCAAATTCCCAAAAAAACCCATGTCAAACCAAGAACCCTAACAGGGTACAGATGACCGCCCAAATTAAAACAGAAACCATTTGTCAATCAAACAACATAAAAGAACAAAATCAAAGCCATCGATCGACATAAGAACCACAGACCTTAAACAAAGAAAGAGCTTTTGTTTTCTTTTTTTGTCAATGAGGCGAATGGAAGCTGCAGAGAAGAGGAAGAAGAAAGAGAGATTTGAGAGGTCGAAGGAGCAGCAGAGCAAAGGCGGAAATAAAATAAAATAAAAATAAAAATAAATAAATATACTAATTCTTAGTTTATTCCCTAATAAACAATTTATATTATGAATTATGAGTTTTCTTAATTTGTGTTTCTGTAATCTGTATTTTGCTGTTTCTTGATGATTAGAACAGGATGGAATCTATTTTTATCAATTTTTTCGGGATAATAATAATTGGAAAAAAATATTATAGACCAAATGGAAAAAGGTAAAGAAAAAAGGAAAAGAAAGCAGAGGAATTAATTAATTTATTTATAATAAAGGGAAATAAATGTTGAAATAAGGAAAGTAGAATAAACGTAAATATGTTAGCCGAAAAAAGAAAAAAAAAAAACAGAATAATGGTAAACTAGAAAGTAAGGGGACGCGTTGGGCCTAGACCAGTTTTTTGTACTTGGACCGCTTGGCCTCATCGAAATAATATTATCATTATCCGGAAAGCCCACAATAACGTCTTTGGGTAATCCATATTGCGAGCCCAATATTGTTCTCTATTAAACCCTAATATCGTTTCTCACTTTCTCTCCACCCTGCAGCGCCGCCGCTCCTCAATCTTTCTATTCCTTCTTAAGCTTCTTTTTATTTTTTTCCTATTCTACCCCTCTCGGCTTTCTCCATCTTTATTTCTTCAAATTTTTCGGTTTATCTCTTGAGAAATTACCCGGGTTTAAGTTACCCGGAGAAATGATGCTCGACGGGCTGATATGGACGCAAAAATGGAAACCTGGAAAGGGAAAGGAAGAAAAGAAAGAGGGCACAAGAAATGACCAGGCTTGAACCGGTTTCCGATCTTGTGTCAGGTTGACTCGGTCAACCGGTTTAAGGGAATTTTACAGTCGGTCGAAGGTGTTCACATGTAGGGGTACTTCGGTAATTTCACAAATTTAGATCTCAAAACTTTTGCCTATAAATAGGAGGTGAATTTCTCTACATGTTGTCATCTTCTCTCCTCTACATCTCCTCCCCTGCTTAAAATTCAGTGTTAGGGTTAAGGATTTAGTGTCTCTTCCTTCTCAAGATCTCATATCTTTCAAGGATCCTGTTCTTTTTGAATTCAAGTTAAAAAGGTAAATCTTTAATTATGGTTGGAGGTTTGAATCTTGAGTATTAAGGAAAGGTTGGCTTGTTGGATCTGTAGATCTATGTCAATCAATGAGTTAGATCTATTTGTTTTTTGTCTCTTATCACTTTTGATGAGTTAGATATTAGGTTTTATGGACGTTGTTTTTGTTTTAAAAATTAGTTTGGAGGAGTTGTAAAGAGTTAAAGATTTTGTATATGAAAAAATTATTGAAAATGTAAAAATGTATATTGAGATGAGACAAATAGATTATATTTACTTTTTTTAACATAAAATAATTTATGTTAAATTTTGGGATTTCTATTGTAAATTTTAAAGTATTTTCACTATCACCACAACTGTCATCCTTAGATGTTATTGATGTTATTTTTTAATTTGTAATTATGTAAAAATAATTTATATTGAGTTTTGAGATTTGTATTGTAATAAAATAATTTGGGAACAACACCACTATCACCATCGCCCTCTGATATCAATAATTTGTGCAATTTGGAATTTTGCTAAAAGTTGGATGAAATTTAACAACCATATGGCTCAGAGCCAATTTTGGGCGAAGAGAATGGTTGGATGACAAAGTTGGATGAAATGTCACAATTTTCAAGTCTAACATCATTTTCAAGGCGATAAAAATTGGACCATCACTTGCTATTGTTGGTGGTTGAATTTGACTAGAAGTTAGTAAAAAAGTTAGATGAAAATTGGCAACTTTCTAGCAAATCAGCTACTTCAGGCCTGCCAAATTTGGTTGGTGGTGGTGGTGCAACTTGCTTGCCTTTGCAACCACCTATTCTGAGGCGATGAGGATAATGATACGATGATGGTGATGATAGTAATAGTGGTGACTTGTTGTCCTTGTTGTTGATTTTGGGGTAGTTATGATGGTTTGATGGAAATTAAGATGGCATTCCCAGGTTTGATGGTACCGGTGGTGGTAGTTTTGAAATGAAACATAATTTTTTTTAATATTTTTTTTATTTCGAAATTATTGTCCAGTTTAAATTTTGAATTTTGCTTTGATTGTTGTATTAGTTAAGTTAGTATTATGTGTTGTGGTTGTGTGGTTTTCTTTGATGTGGTCTAAAACATTGAGGTATGTATTAAGCTATGCAGTTGTGTGGTATTAAGGTATGGGTTGTTGTGGTTTTAGTTGATGTGGTCTAAGACATGCATTGAGGCATTTGTTGAGCTGTGTTGTGGTATATATATATTATACACTAAAAAAGTTTCAAAATTGATTTTGAAATTGTGATAGTATTATGATTTTGAAAATTATGATTTATGTACTTTTGATTTTAAAAAAATTCATAATATTTTTTAAATTTGTATTGTTTCTTGTATAAATTGTAATATTTATAATAATTTGAAAAATGAATGAAGATTATCTAAAGATTTTGGGTGGAATAATCATGGTTGGTTTGTTGCGGTAAGGATTGGCGTTGAGCTCATAGTTATTCTGTCTTGATAATTGATGAAATTACTAAACATTTGCAAGTAACCATCTATGAGTATTTGTTATTTGAGAATGATAGTTTTAATAAATGATACAAAATGTTACGAGCGAAAAGGTGATTGTCAATTAGGCTATGTTTGAAAAGTTTTTTGAGTGTGTTTTTTTGTATTGAGAATGTAAAAAAGTGTAATGGAAATGTAAAAAGATGTATTGGGAATGTAAAAAATATGTTGGGATGTGATAGATATTAATAAAAAATTCTAAGAGAATCATTCAAAAAAGGAACCAAAGAGGTTTAGATTTTTGGGAAAAGATGCTAGAATCTAAGGATTTTACAAAAAATAGGTTTAAAACAGAATATATAAATGTCATTTAGTAATTGTAGGAGTAATATCATAGTAGGTGTTTAGATTTGTGAATGTAAAATAAACACATCTAAAAGATTTAAATATTTAAGATTAGTTGTAGGAAAAAAGAGAAGTATAAATGAAAATGTAACACATCGAATTCAAACTGAGTAGAACAAATAATATAGTGCGGTCTTAATAATTTGTGATAAAATTATATTGAGTTTGAAAAGTTATATTGAATGGGTATTTGACCTATGATGGTTTTTTTGATTGGAGTGTTGTCACTAAATATGAGAATAAGTAAGAAAAAAATAGTGAGAAACAGAGATAAGAACGTTAAGATAGATGTGCGGGTACATTAGATTAAATATTTCATTAAAAATAAATGTTAAGATGGATCTGTGTCTTAACAATTTAATACTCCCTTCATTCTAATATATGTCGTTAGAGGAAAATTAATTTTTTTCAAAATAGATGTCGTTTACGCATTGTTCTTACATGGGAAATTGTAATTGTATTTAAAATAGAAGTATATTAGAACTAAATGATATCGCGAATGGAATTGTATTGAAATAAATGAGAGTAGTTTGGTATTTTAATCAAATATTTAGTCTCCTTAAATTTTGTGAAACTTCTCCAGTAATATATATTTTGGAATGGAGAGAGTATATATCTTGACAAATCTTTGCTAGAATAGTTTTGACAAATAGTATTTTCATGCAAATTATTATTTTTTCCTTGTTAAAATAATTCCTTATTTACGATATTACGTGCAAAGCTTCCATTGTTGATTTTCATAATTGTTTTTGTTGGCAATAATTTGAAATGGCTTTTCATTGTCTTTGTTTCTTACACAATTTCATTTTGGACATTGGGTTTATGCTCGATTGCATATTTTCTTTATTTCGTATGAAAGTTTTAATATACCTTTTTTATACTAGAATAATTTATAATAATTATGTTAATTAATTTTGTAAGATAATCCCAAACTTGACTATGCATTTCCATGCTTGAATTGGGATACAATCGGGACTTGCGGTAAAATTGTTTTTCTATTTACTTGGATTTTTGTATAGCATTGGGACATTGTGATACTTTTCTACTCTTTACTTCATGCCTGTTGTGGGATCGGCCAATCATGAGAACGGGACAATCATATTGAAATGGAAGAATACTGCTCTAACTTACTTCTTGCCCCTTCTATTGTTTAGTAGTGATAGAATGGGATCGGGTGCTTTTTTTTAATTAATTATGTAAGAAATAAAAATAAAAATTCAAACTAGACAATCATTTTGAGATGGAATGAAAATGTTTGTTTTTCATCATAGTGGAGCTACAGTGTGTCATGTTTTGTATACATGCACTTTGAGATGTCATTTGAAACCTTCCACATTTGTGATAGATATGAAGAGGAGGATGGGGCATGGCATGGTTGAAGATACACCTATGCCTTTTAAGGTTGGCCAACTGGTCGAAATTCGGTCTTTTATGAAAGGATATAAAGGGGCATGGTTTCGTTGCGAGGTATTTAGAAATCTTTATCTTTATATTTAATACTTTTATGAGTGTGTGTATGTTTGTTTCATTTTTTGTGTTTGTTTTTAGGTGCTTTTTATATTGGAAATGTAAAAAAGTCTCTTGAAAATGTAAAAAGATATGCTGGGATGGGACATTTATTAATATATTAATTTTAAAAAATCATCAAGAAAATGAAACAACCAAAGCCTCAATTTTTTGAGTGATTAGTTTTTCCTTGTCCCAAAAATATACTTCTTTCGTTTCGAAATGTTTGTCTAAATTAGATGTTACTCTTATTACAAATTCTACATCTCAAAATTCTATACAAGACTAATATAGGGTTTTTACTAAATGTAAAATTCTATTATTGAAAAACCTCCATTAGAGTAAATGTAGTTAGAGAAGTGGGAGTGATGATGGGGGGTAGTAGTGAAATGTAATTGACATGTATAATAATATAAAATGGGTTAGGACTTGAATATTGATATCAAATAACTTATAATTTAGTGGTTTGCATCAAAACTTAGTGTTAAGAGTCCACATTTTTTTAATTGTAATAATTGAAATTACTACATTTGTAAATAACTTTTAAATTTATGTTATTTGCAAATGAGATAGTTTGTGTGGATAGTAACTTCTTGTAATTTTTGGTTCAATATAAAAAGATGTGATGAAAATTCTTTTTTCCAAGATGCAATTCAAACAAAGCTTTAGTGTTAATAGATAGGACAAGGGAGGGCCAAATGCTAAGTTAGAAATGTGGAGACTAGCGGTATCATTTACTTATTTTTACTAGCAGTAGGTTTAAAGCAAAAAAAGTGATGCAAATTCTTGTAATTTTTTGTCGAAAGTGTAATGCTATGTTTGTTCCCTTTTTTCATTGGTTTTTCTTGAATAATATAATGGGGCTTGTTTGGATGGCCTCTCATTTTGCCTTTTGTCTAATTTTTTCTCTAAACATAAAGCTCAATGCACTATCCAAACAATATTTTAACTTACTTTTTAAAAATTTTCTAAAAAATTATTTTAACATAATTTTTATCCACCACCACCGAACCACCCCCACCACCTTCCTCCGGCCGGTCGGACCACCACGGGCCAGGCGGAATTTGATCGGAATCCATCCGGCCGGTCTTCGGTCAGCGGTGGTCCAGAGGCGGAAGAGGGTGGCCCGGCGGCGGAAGGGGGTGGTGGAGGTGGTCCAGTGCTTGTAGAAAGATAATATTATTTTAATTAAAATTATCCAAACAATTTTTTTAATTTTTCGCCAAAACTCAGTTTGAATCATATCTCAAACTCAAACCAAAAACTAAAATAAACCATTTCAAATATAAAAAACGCACACTAAAAAAACGAACCGAACATAACCTAAATAGGCGCAACAATGATTGAAAAGGAAAGATTGCTCTTTTTTCAAGATATAATTCAAACAAAGTTTAGTGTTAGTAGATGGCACAAGGGAGGCCTAAATGCTAAGCTCGAAATGTGGAGGCTTGCGGTATGATTTACATATTTTACTAGGAGTAGGTTTAAAGCAAAATAAGTGATGAAAATAGCTTTGTTTAATGTATAGTAATTTTTCGTTGAAAATGTAAAAAGGTATGATGAAAATTATAATAAAAAATAGGTTGTTCTTTTTCCTTTACTATTAGTAGATGGGACAAGGAAGGGCGAAATGCTTAGTTAGAAATGTGGGGCTAGCGGTATTATTTACATATTTTACCGGGAGTAGGTTCAAAGCCAAAAAAGTGGAATGTCACTCTAGTAATCATAGGAAATTAGCATAGTACATATTTAATTTGGTGAATGAAGTAAGCAAATCTATATTTTTTAAAAATTTTAGGATCCTTCATAGGTGAAAGTACAAACATTAGGAAGATGTAAATCACCGAATTCAAAATGGGTGGAACAAATAAAGGAGCGTGTCATTGAGAGTGATCATAAGATGTCATTTAGGTTGAAAGGAAAGGTTTATCAAACTAATATTCGTCCATCTAAGAGCCAATTTGCTCATGAAAGTTGAGAACTCAAGATGAGATGGACGATTAGACGATGCCTACATTTATATTAGTCGTTTCATTAGAAGTTCTAGGTTCTGTACTATATGTAGTTTTGGTGTTTTTGTTTTGTACAGTGGTCAATGTATTTGTTTTTGCATTTCATGTGTGGGGTTTTGTATTTCTGAGTTTTCATACCCAGTTGGTGTTTGTACAATTTTATTGACCTTCCACTTTTGCATTTCTGGTGCATACTTATTTCACATATCAAATGAAACCTTTCACCCTTTGATTGCAGCACCAAATGTACAGTAGTTTATCTAGACTCTCACAAGATTTTTGGTGTGAGAAAGCAATTTTCCTTTCTTTCAATTATTCTTGGACAATAAATTTGTTTACTCATGTGGATTTTTGGTTTCTATGTCAGATAAAAGATATAAGCCAAAAAGGGAATCGTTGTGTTCGTCTACTGTTACGTTACATCGACTACCCTGATGAGCGTAAGTCTTTTTCTTTTTCTTTTTTTTTTGGGTGAAAGAGTAAATATGTTTCTTTGGTATCTTCTTGTATACCTTTCCTGGAGGTCAATGCCTCATGATAATCTGTCTTACTAACCTCCCATGCTAGGTAGTTTTTACCGTAAAAGCATTGGTGGGGTAACATGACTGAATGTATGGCTGAATGTTATGTCACTTCCCGTGTTTTTGTGACTCAGGGCTTTGTCCATTTTCAGAGTTTGACAAAACCTAGGGGGATGTTTGTAATTTTGGTTTTTGGGGGAGGAAAATTAAGGACTATTTTTTTCATTTACCCCTACTTTAATATTTAAGGCCCACATTTTCTCTCGTTATTTGTATTCATTTGTTAATGTTTTCTTTTTTGTTTTTAGAGGATGAATGGACGGAGTTATACAAAACACCTCCATCTGGATGGAGCACGAAAAGGGAAAAGCAGTTGATGTTGCGGCCCAAATATCCGCCAATTTATCATAGTATTGAACCTTCAATCAACGCAATTTCAGAAGTGATTGTCATTAGTGATGGGGATTGGCACGTGGGTGATCTTGTGGATTGGTTTGAAAAAGACTGTTACTGGACTGGAAAAGTGACACACATACTAGGTGATGAAGAAGCAATGGTAAATAACACGATTTAATTTTTATATATTCTCTTAAAATTCTTTATCACATCATGTTGGAGAGAAGGAACCAATAGCATCAGGACCCAAGTGAAAGGTCACGTAATTGAAACTGGCCATCTGTAAAGAGCAATATCTTTCTCCTCTTTACTGTGAAAGGAAAAAGAAAAAAACATCATATTCGACGCATGACGTTTAGTAGGCGGGTTTTATTTTATGGTATGTGGATTTATACCTTAAAATAAGTGAAGCGGTGATCTCTAACCGCACAAATTAATAGTTGTGTTTAAAAATAGTTCTTATTTTCTTAAAGGATCGTATAACTAATTTAGTTAGATTTTTGAGTCTGATCATGCAAGTTGCAAGTTGGAGCTGGAATAGTCATCATTGACATTTCTTTTAGCTCTGTGCAAATAATGGACTAGATCAAAATGGCACTGATAAATTCCAATACTTCTTCTGTTGAGTTGCTGGAAATAGATATATTAAATGACACAATGTACCTTGGGTTGCAACGGAAACAAGCTCTTTGTATAATTACAAGGTAAGGTACGTATAATTGACCCCCCAGACCTAACTTGGTCGGGAACATATTGGGTATGTTGTTTTATCATTCAAGTCGGAAAATTTACTTATTTAGTAAGCAATGAAATCATGCTGATGTTTGGGAGATGTAGATTCTCCAAATTGAATATGGTTTGTGACAATTATTTTTTCATTTATTTATTTTGTACTGAAACTGGAACTGGTTAATTTATTTGTAAAACCTAAGCCTGCTTGAGCTAATTTATGTGCGGTTTCTCTGAAGATGATAGTTCGAGACATTGGAAACTGATGAACAGTATGATGATGTAGAGAGTAATTTAGTTATTTATGGAAAAGTGAGAATAACCTTTTGGATTATTATTAACTTTAAAAAAAGAAAAGGATGGCAACTAGACTAAGACTTCCTTTTCTGTTTGAAGCTATCGTGTGGGTAATCTCTATTTCAGAGCACTAAAGTGGTCAGGGTATCATCAATTAGAAATTAGGTGGATCATTTTTGTGTCATCAAAGTAATTTCTGTGATTTTCATTCTTTGTATCGGTAGTCATTTTAAGAAGATATTATTATTTTGGTCCAGTTTATTGGGACATGGTGAATTGATTAGCAGTGACTTGTGTACATAACTCCACTATGTATCTGAAACTCTTTTAATCTGTTGTCCAGTCATATTTGAAAGATCAGCTTGTTTGGAGACACTATGATATTGTTCAGATAAAACTTGATCTGTGAATTTGCAACACCTTGAATATTGATGTCTTCATGGAGTGGTCGCACATGAATTTGCACTTTACCTCTCTAGTTTATTTGAACTTTGAAGTTTTTTAATATTGATGAAGATATGTTTTATAGTTCATTGTGGAAAACAGTTTCGAATAACCAAGTATGATTTAGGAAAGTCGTAACAACGTAATGAGGAATGGGAAGGTAGCATGCAAGTTTGTTATCATTTTGTAGCAAACACAATGTTCAATGCATTTTTTAACCATTGGAGTTATGCAGGTTGAGTTACTGCCGCCTCCATGGGGAGAAGGTGATTCTTATCGAGCATCTTTCAGTAATCTACGTCCATCTTTGGACTGGTCGCCGAAGGATGGTTGGACTGTTCCTGTTTTTAAGGTTGGTGCTCTATCTTGCATTTCTATGTCAGTAATTTAAAATCCTTCTATTTTTTGGAGAAAGTTACTGTTTCTTTGGGATTTTTATGTAAATTGCTTTTAAGCTTTTGAATAGATCTGCATTAGTTTTTCTTGCCCCAAACCCGCACATGCACAAATTAAATCTCGCCTTAGATCTCTTCTAGCAGTTCACCATTAAAATATCCCTAGAGTTTGGTTCGTATTAATGTGCCTTGACTCTTATCAACACTCATTTGATTGAATTAATTTTACATTGCAGGATGGTGGAAACTTTCCTCAGTGTGCACGACTTGTGTATCCAATGAATCGAAGTAAGAAATATTTGGTTTTATGTATATGGGGAACAGTAGTCTATGAAACACTTGCATCTTGTTATTGAGCTTCATAATGCTTTTACTAATCACGTGGTTTCTAATATGAACAAAAGTGGTAATAGTAAAAAATAAAATATTACAGATGGACATCGGAACCCACTGATGTATATAGATTAACTACTGCATGCATTAGGTATAAAGTGAATAGGTCCTGTAGCAGGGAAACAATATATGATTTATGGTAGTTAAAGGCATGCGCGATGACCTTGTGTCGATATTTAAAAAAGACAAAAATCTAATTTGATGGAAACTAATGAGGCCTAATTCTCTCAAATCTAATGAAGAATATGGTTTTGACAAAAACAGAAAACAAAAAAAAAAGGCACTTCTTTGGACATCATTTATTAGCAGAAATGATATTAGTTGAAATGAAAATTTGGGGATGTATGTGGAAACCCCCTGAACTTATTGTGGTTTGGATATATCTCTGGGAGACCCTTGTGCCAATAAAGAAGCTAAAAATTTGATATTTGTTAAAAATTTGATATTTGTTAGCTGTATTACTTGGACTCTTCATTTGGTGTTGCCACCCACATGATGACACGCGGTCAGTGGTCTTTGGACAAGAATATGAGAAGAAAATGGAATAAAGCGGAAGAGTGAGAAGGAATAAGTTGAAGGAGAAGGAAGAGAGAATGAGATGAAGGAGAAAAAAAAAACTGAGGAAAGAATAGAGCTGAAAAAGGAGAATGAATAATAGATAAGAATGAGAGCTGCCGTCTTATATTTACCTGAAGTAAATTAATACATTACTGATATAACTGACACGATCCATATAGCTGTTTGATCTAGTAGATTGAGGTTCAGGGTTTACTTGTTTGAGTAATTTGATGGTTTTGCTTGCAGCTGTTGGTGACTCATTGGTTTCAACTGTGCCTGTGGAAAGTGAATGTCTGATAGACAACCCAGTTTCAGCTGGATTACCATCAAATCTTGCTGCTGATTCTCATGTTGAAGTTGGATATCCTGGAGTTGGGGATATGAAAATAGAATCTCAAAATTGCACCAAGGAGGTGATAGGGACCCCGGGTAGTGGTGATGAGTCTCTGCAGAACATCAAAGCATCTGTAGAAGTTCCTTTAAATTCCACCCAGGAGAGCACCTTAGAGGCTGCACTTATGGACTTTGAAGAACTGGCAAACAAGTTAACATGGCTTGGGAAAATTCTAAAGTTTGGAATGCCTTTGTCAGATGTGGGGACGGCTTCATGGAAGTTTGTTGAACATCATGGTTCCTATGTGCCAAAATGACTTCAATACGTGTAAGTTCTAGTACGTGTGAAACATTTGTTAATCATAGTCTCCCTGTGGTAGTATTGATTTTAGTTTTCTGAGCTCATGGTCTATCCAACCATTGTGTTTTATTTGGAACGTACATTTCCAGTCAGGCTGATATCTTACATCAGTTTTTAAATTTTTCTAAATCAACTTTTTTTTTTTTTTCTAAAAATTCGTTGCAGGACATCATACCAATGGTTTTTAAGCTTTATCTTCGATGCACTACAATTTTTTGTTTGAGAGGTTCTTGGTCCAACTTAGCAGCAGCCTGTTTACTTTTCCAGCAGTGGAATGTTTTCTCTGTTAATAGAGTTTACAGTTCAAGATGGTTGATAGAGTTCGTAATAAGGAACAGTTGAAGATAGCAAAATTGTTTCATAGAAATTTTCTGTTTGGCGAGATAAGGATTATTTTACTGGTATCGTAGTCACCACGGTATCCAGTGATGTTGCAGTTGTAGGCATTGTAGGCCTGAAATGAATACCAATGTGGTAGGAAGATGTATACAGAGTAGTTTATATACTGTTTATATACTGTTCACAGTGTTACTGCAGAATACTCCCTCCGTCTCATAATTATTATCCAGTTTGGATTTTCATTTATAATACAAATTGTATTAAAAGTGAAATTTCAAACTGGACAATAATTTTGGGACAGAGGGAGTATTAAACATCGAAGAGTCACAAGCTGGCTGCCAATCTTTTTTGAGTTAATTACATCTTTGATCCTGAAGTATTAGCAAATGATCCGTTTAGTCTCTTACATTACATCTGAAATGCATAGTTCTTTTTTTTTTATACGTTCACAAATAGTTTCAGTCCTCACGCTTAATAGCTTACTTGGTTATTATTATATCTCTAAATTATTATTATATCTCTTTTTCACAATACAAGTTTCTTTACCTAAATTACCCTTGTCTCTATAATAGTTTTTGAGTTTAGTAATAATTTGTATTATCTTCGCTAATCATTAACTCTTAATATATGCGTCACTCAAAATGGACTTACATTGTCGGAAAGAAGGTAGTATTATAGAATTATTTCCATCAAAAGAATAATTCACGAGTTTTGAAATTTATACTAATTTTAGTAAAAGTCTCAAGCTTCAAAATAGATTTTTTTTTTTTCCCGGGGACAGTATTTTTTTCCTTCAAAATATGGTTTCGCTTTGTGCTTTTTACAAAAAGGGTCTCAACTCTCAAATCATTGTTGTCTTCGGTGATACATAGGCTACAATGGACACAGCCTTCAAATCAATTTGATGCAGAAATGATATAAAACATCACTTTTAGAGTTTTTTTTTCCTGAAAAAAGTCTTTCATTTGATGAAAAAGAAAAAGGTCAAAAAAGGGTAAATTATTACTTAACTTATGGCACCAAATTAATAAACAAACTAACCAGATCTTTCATATTTGACTAATCCTTCTACTCTAAATCGAACTAAAATCTATCACCATATGGTCCATATCAATAATAAATCGACCAAGGTGGGCTTCAAAAATTAGAAACCGAAAGAAAACAAAGTACTCCCTCCATTTCAAAATATATGTCGTTGGAGGGAAATCAATTTTTTTCAAAATAGATGTCGTTTTCGTAGATCTAGGCATATTTTGTCAACTTCTTCCAACATTGCCCTTACATGAGAAATTGTAATTGTATTTAAACTAGAAGTGTATTAGTACTAAATGATATTGGAAATAGAATTGTATTTAGAATAAATGAGGGTAATTTAGTATTTTAACCAAATATTTATTGTCTCCTTAAACTTTGTGAAACTCCTCCAACGACATATATTTTGGAATGGAGGGAGTACAATATTATTGGACATTTGGATGACATCTCAGAGAATGAACAAAATCTGGAATAAATGGATGGTTATTATATGTTGCATATGTTGAAAAAGCTTGATTTGTCTGCATTTGACAGTTCAATGACAAAACATTGCATCCCAAATTTTTTTTTTTTAATTATATTGATGAGAAGCTGAGTGTACAAACCGGCCATCATCCAGAAGGAATTTCTTGCACAGAAATTTTCTTAGAAAATGATTTAGGAGCAAAATTACAAAACCGTCTGCCATAAAACAGAATATACTGTTGACATGGGCATGGAAGCAGATTCTAGCACTTGTTTTGGGTCTAGAGATGCTTTATGCTTACCATATGGCTTTTTTTAAAAATAAAAAAAGAAAAAGAAAATCATATGGCTTTGTTTTACAATCAGGAATGAATAAAAGGACATTTCTTATACCAGAAAAATAATTCATTTTATTATATTGTTTTAATATAATAAAGTGAAATTTTTTTTAGATGGATAGAATATATCATCTTTTTTTTTTAGCTCTTCTAAAAATCAAATCATAAAAGAATTGAAGCAATAAAGAAGAAATTAAACAAACCATATGATCCATAGATGAGAATAAAATTAATCATCGCTGAAACTAGATATATTCAGTATTTTAATAGGGTTGCCCAAATGCTAATCTTGATTATCCTAAATTACATCGAAATAAATCGAGATGGATTAAAACACCAACGTGATGGACTCTCTATTCCGATGATTTGCCGAATACTTTAAACGGACTTTTATTGTAGTTTATTTACTAGAAAAAGGATTATATTTATATATGTTCACACCATTGAGTATATATTGTCCATGGATAGAACCTTCAGACTTTAATTACGTAATTGTTTTAGCCATTCCAGAATAAGAATAATTGTAAGAAAACCCAATAAAGAAATGATGATGTCTACACTTAAGCTACAAAACATATAAAAACTGCCGAATTACAAATATATATATATATATATATATATATATATTGCATTCATTATAGAACTTCAATCCGCCATTCTTCTTATTTACACGTTATTCAATCTCTATATATATATATGATGGTTAAAGAAACTTCAATCGGACAGTTACGTTTTTTTTTTTATTTTTCAACAAAAAATTATATATATCACATGCCTGTTCAAGAAAAAATTATATCACAATTACGTTTTTTTTATTTTTTTTATTTTTTCCTTGTCGTTAACTTCTTCTTTTTTTCACGAAATTCTGGGTGTAAAAGAGGGTTATCCTGCCGTTTACGTTCTTGTTCATACATATTAACAGTTTAGACACAAAATAATAAATAATATCTTCCCGGTAGCTGATTATACGTACGCGTCCATAAAACATAATTAATTTGGACCAGAATAAATAATTACGTCCATATTTAGGATGGAGTTAAATAATACCAGTTCAATACAAATTTGTGAGAGGAATAAATTGATGTCCTTCTAGAAATAGAATTTGTATAATGCAAATTGTTACTGTTCCCAAATGGATAAATTTGCTTCCTTCTAAAGAAATGTTATATATGATGGTTAAATGTACCATATTTTGGATTCTTTTATAGCATAAAGATGTTCCGGGACAATCAGCTACATATACACCATAATCGTGTCACTTTTTTGGCGGCATTTAGGAGAATTAATATGGATCATATGATAAAATTAGTGAATACGTTCTATAAAAAGATTGAATAACGTGTAAAAGTGCAAAATAATCAAATGTATATTCTTTACCATCCGAGTTTTTCATTGATGCTGATAGATATTTGCAATCCGACAGTGCGGCAATTCAAAACACATCAAAAAAAAATAAGAGAAAACAAAATTTGGTCACAAGAATTTAGGTCAAATGACTAATTATCCAAATCTGAAAAAAAAAAAAATTGCGCCAGGGTTGTCCTTTATCTCCATATCTCTTTATCTTATGCCAACAAGTTCTATCTTCTGCTACCAAATCCGAAATCCATGCCTTCCCTGGTCTAGGTGTAAAGATCATTCGGCATGCACTGCGTCTAAGTAATCTCATGTATGCCAATGACAGTTTATTTTTTATTGAATGCAAGGACACGGCTGTACAAGCATTGGCAGGTTTATTGGAGAACTATAACTATTTCTCCAGAGAAAAGATCAATTTGCAGAAATCTTCAATCCTGATCAGCAACAATACTCCCCTACCAACTCAGGATATGCTGCATACTACTCTTAGCATTCTAAGAGGAGCTTTTCACACTAAATATCTTGGACTCTCTTTGGACTTCACATAGAATAAGACGACTATCTTCAAGGAATTCACCACCAGAGTTAGTAACAAGTTTGCAAACTGGAAGACGAAGTTATTATCTCTGCCAAGTCGGTTACTCTTGCAAAATCCACTTTGTCCTCTATGCTGGTATATCCAATGGGAGTCTTCAAACTCCCTAATCAGACTCTTTCTAAAGTGGATAAGATTATTGGGAACTTTATATGGAAGGTTCAAGAGAAAAAAATCCATTGGCGTTCTTGGAAGAAAATGGCTAAATCCCAGTTTCATGGTGGACTTAGATTAAAGGCTACCAAGGAATTCAATCAGGCCTTATTGGCAAAACATGCTTGGAAGATCATGACAGAACCACAATCTCTTTTGGCAAAATTTTTCTATGCTAAATACTGTCTGAATGGAGTTTTCCCGCCTGCAGACATGCCAACAACTCCTTCTTGGAGATTCCGTAGTATTCTTTGGGGTGCTAAACTATTACAACGAAACCTGAGGTCCAAAATCATCTCTAACAAGAACACTCTCCTTTCAGCAAACTGGATTCCGAAGGTTTCTAACCCGATCTTACCTCAATCTGTGTTATCAACAGCAAATATGAGAGGTGATCGGTTTATTACTCTATCAGGTCATTGGAGAATTCGAGCACTAAAGAACTTCTTCCCTGATCACATAGTTTTCATTACTATTGAACCTTTATTGATCTAGCAAGGAGAGCTCCGCAAGACTGTTTACAATGGTTACACACTGATCATGGCCATTATACAGTTAAAACAGGTTATCAAGTGGCTGTTAATTCTTCTCTCCCTCAACCTATGCCTGATCTTGTAATATGGCAAGCCAAAAAACTAGCTTGGAAGTGCCTCTGGAATTCTAAGGTTCAACCAAAACAAATTTAATGCACTGGCTACCAGGAAGGATTTAAGCAAGAGAGGTGTTCAATTGGATACAACCTGTCCACGATGCTTTCGTGAAGAGGAGGATAGTACAAATCTATTCCGTAATTGTGAGGTGTCACAAGCTCTTTGGGCTCTGGCTTTCCCCATCTTTGGTTCAATTTTCAACTCCACCTATGATTCCTTATTTCAATGATTCATTGGCTGGTGCTCACATCATCCATCTAAACAGGAAGTTGATCTCTTATTGATGATTATGTGGCGTATCTGGTGAGATCGAAATGATCGAATTTGGAGGAATCAAGTACATGATCCTGCAATATCTTGGAGCTTAATTCAATATGAAGCACGCAGACTACATCAACAGACCCACACACAAAACCAAAGGCAGAGTGCTACACAACAAATAACCAATACAGCCTTGATCATCTTTGATGGTTCTTATAATCATCAATCAAGGAAGGAAGCATGAGCCTAGAAAATCGTGTCGCCTCATGGCATGATAATGCAAGTCAAAACAGTGAGCTTTAATGCTCTCACACTGCTACAAACAGAAGTCCAGACATGTCTACGGGCCTTATAAGAAGCGGCAAACTTTGGCCTGAATAGAGTTCAGGTTTTCACGGATCGCGAGATTCTCACAAATGATCGTAGTCTTCTCTTGTACAATCGGAATCACGCGAGATCTTACTTTTATTAGATACTTTAATTTCCTCCTTTGAATTATGCACACTGACTAAAGTGACTAGAAGTGATGTTGTTGAAACACATAATTTAGCTTATAACCGAATGAGATGTAATAGTATAGATACTTTCACTTAAATAATATAGTTACCTTTTTCCAAAAAATAAAAATAAAAAATACTAATCATCCAAATCAATTATAGACATAGGTTGCAATTAGAAAAAATCGAATTTGAAATTTACGATAATGACATTCATTTTTAGTTTTAGGGTTGGAGGAATGTTGAATTTTACAGTAGTACTTCATCCGGTCCTTATTATAAGGTATTTTGATTTCGTCCTAAACTTCATTTAGGATATCTTTTTAATTGAAATAAAAATTTAAAAAATATTTCATAGTAATTAAGAGAATACAAGGAATGTGAAAATATATTTTTAAGATTTTTTTTTCAATTAAAAAGATATTTTATGTGAAATCTAGAACGAAATCAAAATGTCTTATAATAAGGACCGGATAAGTAAATGTGATATGGTGATTGGATTGTAAAATTTTTGTTTTTAGTTAAGTAAGAGGATAACTTACCATAGATGATAATAACGATACAATGAGATCGATGATACTTAGGATGTTATTCTCACAAAACATTGCTATTCATTTATGTCAACCTGTTAGGTTTTTGGACTTGCCTTATCCATCTCTGGAGGATCCTAAGTTGTTTGTGTCTCATTGCATGCAAAATAATTCTCCGTACCGGGGATTCTTTCTTGATTTTGTATTCTAATTAGAAGCGCTCACTTTGAACTTGATGTATTTCAAGTTCATACTGATTAAATTCGTAATGTTATGATTTTGAGAGATTTTTTATCCATTAGAATCTGTTCGAACTTCGAATGATGTGATATAAATATATATAAAAAAAAATGTGGCAAATATATGATGAAAAGAAATAGTGACTTAATAGGCTTGTAGTACAAATTGTATCTTTCCTTTCTAATTTATACTTTTGCCCTTAATTAGTCTGTATACATAAGTCACTATTACATTTTACTATGAATTTTCACGGTTTCTATCACTGTTTTAATATTATATATAATATTATAAAACATTTATCTCAGTAGACTCCACTTAAATATGGGTAAAACATTCCCTTACAAACCCCATGGTGGGATCGAACTCTGGTCTATTACCAGGAAAGATAGCACGCTTGTATATCTGTGGAATTATTTCATGGCCTTAATGTATTAACCATTATTTCTATCTATTTTTTGGGTTAAGGATCTCCTATACCACAATCATACAATATTTTCTAAGAAATTATATAAAATTTATCACTTTTTTGTATTCAATTATTACTTTCTTTTTTTAAAAGAAAAAAGTTTACTAACATCTTAACCCAATATTGGATAAACTTGTCGGGTCATGTGTCAAAATCTTGGTGAATGATATAAGAAGTAGTGTAAAACAGTTGGAGTATGGTGCAGGAGATATTTTGCAAGCTTCTTTTTTTTTTTTTTTTTTAATTGCGTTTCCATCTCAAATGAAACTACATTTGTCCATTAAATTAAGATGTCACAAACTCTAAGGCATTGTTTAGAAATGACAAAGCACCAATCAATGAGAAGAAGAGAATGTGACCGGCGGACAAAATGACATTTTCCATCATACGTAAATCTAAATTTGTCTCCATTCTTGTCGAGCCATAAAATTTTCCCATCTATATAAATCACCAAGATATAGTAACCATATGATTTGCAAACTCGAATAAACTTGTGAAAAAAGACCAAATAAAAAAAAACATGGCCACGGCCATAGCTGGCGATTGCCTCCACGCGTGCACGGTGCAACAACCACGCGCCGCCATCAACCGCCTCCACATGTCCTTCCATTTCGCCGCCATTCTATCCCTTCTTTACTACAGAATCTCCCACCTCTTGCATGGCGACGTTCCAATCCTTTCATGGAGTTTAATGACTTCGGCCGAGCTCATTTTCACCTTTTTATGGATCGCCACGCAGAGTTTCCGGTGGCGGCCTGTGGCGAGGTCGGTGAACCTCTCAAACCTTCCGAAGAACGATAAACTGTTGCCCGGAGTGGATGTTTTCATATGCACCGCGGATCCCAAGAAAGAACCGGTGATCGAGGTGATGAACACGGTGGTTTCCGCCATGGCGCTCGATTATCCGGCGGATAAGCTGGCGGTGTATCTTTCCGACGACGGCGGCGCCGGGTTGACTTTGTATGCGTTGAAGGAGGCTTGTTCTTTTGCAAAGTCTTGGGTTCCGTTTTGTAGGAGTTATGGAATCAAAACTAGAAGTCCTGAGGCTTATTTTGCTTCTTCGAAAGATGGTGCACATTTGGATTGGGGTGATGAGTTAAAGGAAGAGGAGGAAAAGATTAAGGTAATTGTAACTTCATTCTTCTCTCAAATATTACTCTGTTCGACTCAAAATTATTATCCAATTTAAATTTTCATTTTCAGTTTTCAGTTCTACAATTTTCTTTCAAATATGTTTCAAATTACACTCTCGAGTGAAATAAACTCAAATGATCATCACGAGACACAAATCATATTTAATTAGCAGATAAGAAAACAATTACTAAAAAATTCGTGTATTCTTAAAATTACTGTGGTATTGTTTTATTATAATTATTTTCAAAAAGGATTAATTTATCTGAGTTGAGTGAAAATTTTCAAATTAGCCCATGAATCTTATATAAAAGAAGAAATAGAGAAGAAGTGAGTGTTTAAGGGTTGGAAAGATTCAATTAATAACGGTGATAAGAAAATGTTTGGAATATCAAGATACTGAGTTCGAACCGCAAGTCAATCCTGAAACAAGAACCAAGAAACAAGTGAATTAGAAATTTTAGAAAGGAAAACTAACAAATTCTCTGAGGATTAATAAACTAACTTTGACTGCGATTATTTCAATGGACCAAGTAAAAAACTACGCTGTCAACCAGGCTGCGGTCTTGTCCTAGTCTTCTGTTCATTACCTTTGAAGTAATGTAATCCATGCATGATAGTGACATTAGAAATTGTAATTGGCATCCAGAAAGAAAAAGGGTTGGCCAATATAATCGAGATTTTTTTTTTTTTTTTTTTGTGTTTGCAGATGGCATATGATATGTTAAAGAAAAATGTAGAAAAACTTAGTGCCATCGAAGCATATTCAGCTCGGCAGGACCGCCCAGCGCACGTCGAGGTAAGGGAAAGGTTTTTTTGGCACCACATAGTTTTTCCTTTCTTAAATTTAGAATTTTTTTTTTTTCTGTTCGAAAATAAGAATCATGTTTATTTTTCTGTTTACGTTCAGTAACCATGATTTTTTTTTCCCTCTAGTAGAGGGAGTATTGGTTTATTGAAATGAAACAACCGGTTGGTAAAACTAATTAATAATATAGCAGTCACCCCCTTGACCAGTTCACTAAAATCATCCCCAAATAAAGTTTGAAGATATGATCATATGAATCGATTCAAGAACGATTGAATGCATGATGTCAAACCAAATTGACTCTTTCTTTTTATTTTTTTTTTTAATGGGAGCAAAGTCAAGAAACAATAACATGCATGTTAACGTGAGTTTTAGCATCACGCATGTTCCATAAACTAAGTGTGGTTTAGTAACTGTATCGTCATATATGTATAAATATATATATATATATATATTGTGATTTTTACTGATCTATTTATTATATAGAAATGTACGATAATAAAAATCACGTCAAACTGACTCCATATCAATCTCAATTTTTAATTTTGGCAAAACTCAATCTTGAACAGGTGATTCATAACGACGACAACAACAAAGATGAAGGTGACGACAATAAGCAAAATGATTTACCACTTCTTGTGTACGTATCTAGGGAGAAAAGACCAACTCGCCCTCACCGTTTCAAAGCTGGCGCTCTCAATGCCCTTGTATGACGACCTTCATTTCATAAGTATTTTGTATTTTTCCAGCAAAAAGAAAAGTTATTTAATTTAATCTTTTTCTTTTACCCTAATAATTAAATTAAATTAATTTTGAATTTTGCAGCTTCGAGTTTCGGGAGTAATGAGCAATGCACCATACATTTTAGTGTTGGACTGTGACATGTATTGCAATGATCCTCTTTCTGCCCGGCAAGCAATGTGTTTCCATTTGGATCATCAGATTTCTAACACATTATCATACGTTCAATTTCCTCAAATCTTCTACAATGTTAGCAAGAATGATATTTATGATGGTCAAGCCCGATCAGCCTACAAGGTAAATTCATCGCATCTTTCACGCTGTTATGATCATTTGTTTGAATCGAGGTTCATTATTGCATTCGAGATCGGGGAAAAAATTATTATACTCATTTGTTGTTGCTTCTCACTGCAACAAATCAATGAAAAAAATGAGCATAAAATGATTGTCGTCTATATAACCTCCATTTTTTTTATATATATTTCACATTAGGGTATGCATAAATATTAAAAGTGTTGGGACTATGCAAAAGTTCAAAAATTAAAGTAAAACATAGGTAATTGTCATTAATATGTGTTATTAAAAGTAAAGCGATTAAAAGGTGAAATTTGAAAAACTGTGTTTAATATTGATTGGAAATAAAGTGCAACAAATAAAAAATAGTGTTAGGTTTGCCATAAAACGACAGATAAAAAAATGAAAGTAGTATAATTTTCACATTTATTATTTATAGACTGCACCGTATGACATCATAAGTATTACTGTCAGATGCATAAAATCACATCGCTTGAGAAATTGATTCGAGAGTTTTTTTTTTTTTCCTCTCTCTTTTAATTGGTAGACTAAATATCAAGGAATGGATGGTCTGAGGGGCACTGTATGTTCGGGAACTGGATACTTCATGAAGAAAAAGGCTTTATATTGTCGTCCAGATCAAGAGGGTGAATATTTTCATAATTCTTTACTCTGGAAAAGAAAGGAAAAAAAAAAAAAAAAAAAGAGTCCAACATTTTTCTTTGAATTTGTCTATCAATTTTCATTTTTTTTTTTTTTTTTTGGATGAATTGCAAATTGCAGATGCTATGGTTGTTGACTTAGAACAAAACTTTGGTTCTTCAAAAGCCTTCAATGATTCACTCAAGGATTTGAACGGAAGACGAACCAATTCTAGGGTTGAACCAATATCGGAATCGATTGTGGAAGAAGCAAAATCTCTTGCAACTTGTACGTTTGAAGAAAACACAAAATGGGGAAAAGAAGTACGTTTTCTTATACTCGTTTCGTCCTGAAATTATTATCTAATTTGAATTTTTTGTTTTAATTGAAATTATACTAAAATTAAAAATGCAAAATAATTTTAGAACGAAAAGAATATATATCTACACTTGTTAAATTTTGTACATCTTTTTCATCTCAAAAATACGACTCGATTTTGACAGGTAGGATACTCCTACGGTTCTTTGTTGGAGAGTACATATACGGGCTATCTTTTACACTGCAAAGGATGGAAATCAGTGTACCTTTATCCAAAGAGACCATGTTTTCTGGGCTGCACTACCATTGACATGAAAGATGCAATGGTCCAGCTAATGAAATGGGCTTCTGGTCTAGTTCAAGTTGGATTGTCACAATTCAGCCCATTAACTTATGGGGTGTCCAACATGTCAGTCCTCCAAAGCATGTGCTATGCCTACTTCACCTTCTCACACTTTTTCTCCTTTCCTTGCATTTTGTATGGAATCATCCCTCCGCTGTGTTTCCTACGTGGCATTCCTTTGTTCCCTGAGGTAATCTACATATTTCACCCCCATGAAATTTTTGGGTTTTTGATCTTTGTTGGTTTTAATTTTTGACCTTTTTTTCTAGATATCTAATGACAAGCGAGCTATTTGATTCCAATTGAATAAATCGATCTATATTATATGTATGACAGTTCGATAAGGTTTAAAAATATAGTTGAAGATGACCAATATCTTTGAACTTTTGTAGGTTTCGAGCAAGTGGTTTGCACCATTTGCGGTAGTGTATCTATCATCTCTTGTACAACATTTGTACGAGGTACTTTCAAGTGGAGGCTCAATCTTAACATGGTGGAATGAACTAAGAATTTGGATGATCAAATCAGTGACAGCATGTCTTTTTGGTTGCATGGATGCTTTGTTTAAGAAAATAGGAGTCGCAAAGGCGAACTTTAGGTTGACCAACAAAGCCGTTGACCAAGAAAAGCTCGATAAATACGAGAAGGGTAAATTCGACTTTCAAGGTGCTACCATGTTCATGATCCCCCTAACGTTGTTGGTCGTCTTAAATGTGGTTTGCTTTACCATTGGAGTGAAAAGGATGATTTCAAGGGGTAATTTTGGAGAGATGTTTGGCCAATTTGCTCTTTCTTCTCATATTTTGGCTCTAAGTTATCCCATTCTTGAAGGACTAATGCCAAAGAAGAAGGAAAAGAAGAAAGTGTAGTTTGTGTTTGTGCTTACTACTTTTGTAATGATTTCTTTACGTTTTATTTTGTTCTTCAGAAAGAGGATCCTAACTGAATGATATTGTATTTGGAGGAAATGTATTACATAAATAAAGGGTTTAGTATAGCTGGCTCCTCTATATTAATCATATACGATTTGCTTACGTAAACTTTTATAATGATTTGAACTCGATTCAGTATTTAATTAATAAGATAATCTGTCACAAGAATATTATGTACGATTCGTGTGAACGTTTTAATAACAAATTTGTTAAGGATGTAATAATGTAAGCATTTCACTTTTGCTTGATATCTCTATTTATTGCTTAATCGACGATCTGGTTTCACTAACGAGAGTAATACATTAAATATCCAAATTCTATTGTATATGGCCCGGTTTTTTTCCACATAATCCTATTAGTTTCTTCTTTCTGGAAACAACACTCTGGGATTTTAAATGCATGGGGTGCCTTAGTACGAACCACGAGCCAAATTAAATTTGCTGCTATGACAGCTGACTAGTTAGAAAATTCAACAAATTGTTCACCAAGAAAAAAAAAATGAAGAAGAAGATCGAAAGAAAGAAACTTCAACAAAACAGTCAACAGCAGTCATACTAACATACTTAAAAATCAAAAATTGACTTGGGCTCCAAGTATATTCTTCATTGGCCAGTTTTATGTTAAGAAATATAATAGTCAATATTATGTTACATTTGAATTCGCTTAAAAAAAAAAAACTGGATTATTATTTTATTTTGGAAGAGCATGAATAAGTGTCACTTTAATAAAATGAAAAAAAAATCAAAATAAGTAGCGTTTTCTAATTCTAATGCGAATTTCGTTCAAACTTTTGAAAATTACTCTCAAAAGAAAATAATACTAATAACAACTATTTGTTTGTCATAATCGGATAGGTTGAAAATAATTAAAAATTTATTTACTTTATTTAAATATTTCTTAAACTATGTGTGAATTGTCTAATAATACTTATTTCAGAATAGAGAGATTCATGCACGCATTTTAGGTTGATACTGTAAAGAGGACACTGTCAAATAAAGGTAACAAAATGGTTAATAAATTTTCATTAATTGAACGGACCTTTTTGTGTAGTGCTAATAAATTATATGTCGTCCTTCTTCCTGTCACATTTTTAATTATTATCAAGAATTTGTTGCATGTTTTTTTCATAAGAAAAATACATCCAAAACAACGAAATGTACGTACAATTCCCTGGTCGAAAATTCATTCCATCTCTAACATCAGAGAAAACAGACCCACAAACTAAATTACTCACCCTGGTCCTATACTTAATTCTGGAATGTGAAATGAATGCGATGCCTTCAATATCATGTGCCAAAAACCAAATAAATAAAAATTCGTCGGTACCACAGAGGGAGATCAAACACTAAATTACACCATTAATCAATCTAGTTACAATGTATTGAAACTTCCTCGTACTCATTGACGAAAAGCATTTGGTTATGTGTACAATTTTTTTATTTTTTTTTACCGATTAGGAGGTCTGAACTTAAACTCAATACTTAATCAAGAGGAGAAAAAAAAAGGTCTTTATTACCACTTAAATAAACTCAACAATAATTTGGCAATGTTGTGTTCTTTTTGTTTTTTTTTTTTTTTTTTTTTAAATTGCGTTACAGATAAATTTTCCTATGAAAATGATGCCATCAAATTCTCCGTCTTAGATTGTTGACAAATCTTCTAAGTCTCAGCTGCAGGTTTCAAAATGCACCACGATACTTGGAAAGTGACAAAACCCGATTTCGTCCGTATAATAATAATACCACAAAACCATATTCAGTGCTAAATATAGGCCATGGATAAGTCCCTATAAATTCTGAGCTTTTTGCTTCATACCATAATCAACAACCTTAACAAACTTTGAGATTTCAATAGTGTTTTTTTCCCCCTTGTTGATATCATAAGCTAGCAAAAATTAAGAAGGAAGAGAAATGGAGACTTCAGTACTTCCTCTTAATCTTTGTCATGTCCAAAAGAAACTGTTAATTTTGAACCGTTTTTATATGTTCATCCATTCCTCTGCTTTACTAGCCCTGATACACTACAGGGTTTTCGGTTTACGCGAAATGATGGCGAAAAACGAAGGAATGAGACTGAATGTACTAGTTCCTTATGTGTTAGTCTTTGCTGCTGAGCTTATGCTGTGTTTCCTGTGGTTAGTCAACCAGGGTTACCGATGGAGGCCGGTTTCTCGGGAAGTTTTCCCTGAGAGGTTACCGGAGGATGATAAGCTTCCGGCTATCGATGTTTTTATATGCACGGCTGATCCTAGCAAAGAGCCTAGTGTTGAAGTTATGAACACTGTGATTTCAGCAATGGCCCTGGATTATCCACCTGAGAAGCTGAATGTGTATCTCTCGGATGATGGAGGTTCTGCTGTGACTTTGAAGGCGATGATCGAGGCCTGGAAATTTGCGCGTTTTTGGCTGCCATTTTGCAGGAAGTATGGTATCAAGAACCGGTGCCCTGAAGCTTATTTCTCCAGTCTTGATGATGATGAGAGTAATAGGATTGAGTTCACATCTGATAAAGAAAAAATTGAGGTTTGTTTAATTGATCTTCTCATCATTTACTCTGTTTGATTGTTAATTTTAAGAGAATTTATAATTCTGACAGAATCAAAAATTGATTATGTTGCAGAAACAATATGAGAAGTTCAAGGAACGTGTCGAATGGATTAAAGAAAACACAAGCATGGCTACTAGTAAAGATCATCCTGCGAGAGTTGAGGTACTAATTTCGTTCCGCTGTATTCTTTCCGTCTCAAAAAAATAGTCCTGTTTTCGGAACTATAATGTAACAGGGGAGTATTTGTTTATCTCGGACTGTATATATTAGCTGGAGAAGTTGTTTAACAAAATATAGATTCTGATCAGCTTAACACTTTCTTTCAGGTGATCAATTTAATGGCAGATAGTGATCCTGTGGATGCAGGGGAAACCATGCCATTAGCCGTATACGTATCACGCGAAAAAAACCCGTCTCACCCGCATCATTTCAAAGCTGGAGCTCTGAACACTCTTGTACAATCTCTAAATAACACTAAGCTCACCTGCCATTTCAATTTTTTTAGTTATATTATGTTGAAGATTTTAAGAATTTGCACCATTCTTCAACCTGTGGATGCAGATTCGAGTTTCGGGTATGTTGAGCAATTCGCCGTATGTATTAGTACTGGATTGTGATATGTACTGCTCTAATCCGAGCTCAGCCCGTCAAGCCATGTGTTTTCACCTTGATCCTAACAAATCTCCTCAGCTAGCTTGGGTTCAGTTTCCACAGAAGTTTCATAACATCAGTGACAAAGACATATACGACAGTCAGATCAGATTCGCTTTTAAGGTAACTTCATATTTTACAAAAATGTCGTAACATTGTAATCAGCAATCATGGAGCAAATTGCCTGAAAATTTTATGCTATCTTATCTGGTTTATTTTCAGACTTATTGGCCTGGAAAGGATGGAGTCGGAGGACCAACGATATCCGGTACCGGATTTTACTTAGCCAGAGAGGCATTATATGGACTTGCGAATGCAAATGGTAAGAAATTTATCATCTTCAAGGATGTGGAAGAAAATGCAATAACTGTTGATAGCTTTATTAGTCTTTTTAGTGGATGATTCAACGGATGAATTTTTCCGGGATGAATTCCTAACGGCGATTTTGTTTCCTGATACATAAATAGATGCTGATCTTGGTGAGCTCCGAAAGATGTTTGGCCCTTCACCTGAGTTCATCAGAACTGCTCTTCGCGAAAACAGTTCGAATAATCATGTTCGAAATGGCGAAAAGTTGTCCACTTCATTGCTCCAGGAGACTCAACTTTTGGCTTCATGTACCTTTGAGAAAAACTCACAATGGGGAAAAGAGGCAAGATCATGATCCCTTTGAACATTTTTTTTGGTTCTCTTTACTTTTCTGACTTAAAACTGAAAAACACAGGTTGGGTTCAGATACTTCTCTGTGGTTGAAGATTACTTCACTGGCTTTTCATTACACTGCAAGGGTCATATTTCTGTTTATTTCCAACCATCAAAACCAGCATTCTTAGGCTCAGCAACCACAAACCTGAGTGAATTTTTGGTACAAAACACCCGGTGGTGTACGGGCTTGATTGAAGTTGCGCTCTCAAAATACTCCCCTCTTTTCTATGGTCCACCAAGAATGTCATTTCTTCAGAGTTTATGTTATGCTGATCTCGCATATTTCCCCTTCTTTTGGTTGCCTTACTGGTGCTTAGCCATTGTTCCGCAACTTTGCCTAATCCGCGGCATTTCTTTATATCCCGCGGTAAGTATCTAACCTTGACCTAATCCTTGGAGTAAACTTCTGATTCTTATGAAGTTATGAACATAAACATGATATTTGTTTTTTGTGTTGTAGATATCAAGTCCATATTTCATTCCATTTGTGTTCATTTTCATTTCGGCGAATCTCAAACACTTGCAAGAAGTCATATCATCCGGGCTCACCATCAAGTCATGGATATATGAGCAGAGAATGTGGATGATTAAGTCAGTAACATGTTACACTTATGGAACCATAAACACAATCATGGAGAAATTCGGGATGAAAGAAGCGAGTTTCTTGCCAACGAATAAAGCCGACGACGAAGCGCAGATCAAGCTTTACCAATCCGGGGTCTATGATTTCCGGGTTGCGACAATGTTCATGGCTCCAATCTGTACCTTGATCATTCTGAACCTAGCTTCCCTGTTTCTTGGAGGTGTCGAGATTTTTCGCGGGCGAAATTTCGACGCGATGGCCGTTCAGGCATTCATCTCAATGTTCATTGTGACTGTGCAGTACCCTGTGATTGAAGGGATGTTCTTCAGGAAGGACATTGGTAGAGTACAACAGTCAGCCATTGTCCTATCAGCTTCTCTGGCTTTAGCAATTTTGGCATTAGGAGCTATTTTGTTACCCTCTGGTTTCTGAATCTCTTTAAGTCTCTAGAATAAACCATTATGTGAGTACTCCTTCCGTCAAAGAAAAACAGTTCACTTTGTCGGATTAATTCAATAAAATAGATTATTTTTCACGTTACAGAGTGAGTACGATAGTTTGCCTGTTTGTATATCAAGAATATTGTATTTGTACCATGTAAAAAAGTTCATCATATTTTAAGATCACTGGAGAAACTCCGGTGACAAAGAATGCGTATTAGATAATTACTCTGTTTCAATTGCAGTTTGTTCATGAATCATGATCCTTTGTCTTTGAGATTTTTCTAACCCCGGGTAAACTTAGTTATTATTTTATACTTTCAGATTAAATATTCAGTTTTAGTACAAACTGAACTAAAAGTGAAAATTCATATCAGATAATAATTTTGGAACAACAGGAATAAGAATATTTCCTCCGTCCCAAAAAAATAATCCATTTTGGACTTTCAAATTTATATTGATTTTAGTACAAATTCCAAAACTAAATTTGGATTATTTTTCTGGGACGGAGGGAGTACTAAAGTTTGAGCGGTAGAAGTTGTCTCTACTTGTAGCAATTTGTTATTATACATATATAACACCAGAAACATCGTCATGAATTGACCCGAAATGTTAGATCGTTTCTTTCTCCCATCCAATTTATAGGACACAAATTGAATTGAATTTCACTTCAAACTGTGTTTCGTAAATAAGAGCGGAGGAAATATTTTAGCTTCCTGAAGAACACATGCACGAGAAGCCAAAATCACAAAATACTCAACAAGTACAAAACTTGATTAAGATTGCTCCCAAATCTTGTGGCAATTCTGCATTTCTAGTTAATTTTCAACATTTCTTTCGTACGTGAATGGAGGAGGTTATTTATACTTTGAGATAGCAAATTTGTGACATAATACCCGATCACATCATGAAATTGACTTGAAAATATGAAACGCACTACATATTGTGGGGCGAGCACTGGTCCTATTTATACGACGCCACTTAAACTAAATTAAATTTTGTTTTTAAGTTGTGGTTTATAATAAGACTGGAGAAAATATTTCGGCTCCGTGAAGAACATAAGCACGAGAAGTTGAAAAATCACAAACACTCAGCCTAATAAATACAAAAAAATTTGACTAAGATTGTTACTAACAGCTGCTTTATGATAATCATGCATTATATATCACGTTTCAATTTGTCCACGGTAACAGGTGAACAGTTTCTGTGGCTCATATGGAATTAATCCATCCAACTTATAATTGTATTCAGGCCGGCCACCAAAAACAATTAAGGCTCAAGAAAATCTCGTAGATAAAGAATGATCCATTTGGTCACAAAGATCAAATTGGATTATGGTCATGATGGCTAATAAGTATTGGTCACGTTATTGGAATCGAACAAAAACAGTATACTGACAGCGAATATCTCCGCTTCAAAATCAAAGCCCTTAAGAAAATAATAATAATAATAAGAGGAAAAAAGCTTTCAAGTAAATGTCAAAATATTTAGGCCTTTGGATTTCTTTTTCAAAGGGAAGATCTAAGTGAAGCTAAAAAGCCTAGATATGGGGTTGCCATTTTGCTCTCAGCAAAAAGTAAGGTGAATTTTTCAGAACACAAAAAACAAACAAAAGATCATTCCACATTTAGAGATTAAAGATTTTGTGTGATTGACTGGTTGCCCAATAACATGCATATGTGTGTCTGTGTGTGTGTGTGTCTGTGTGTGGCTTTTAACGCAGTTTCATAGTAGCCGAAATTGCAGGCATATTATGATTATTCCAACACATAGTCACACAGTAGATATATTATATATACTTCAATTTTTATCAAAAGCTACGCCTGCTGCCTAAATTGAAATTATCACGAGTGATGAATATACTTTTGCTTAATTTATGTAAGGCAAAAAAGATGAAGGGAAAGGGAACTCAAGTTCGCTATGCATATTTCAAAAACACTTCTTTTCATTCACGAGATTCTTCATGAAATGGATCTTTCAATATGCATAGAGCTTCTTTTGTTTAAAATGTCCTCATTTCTAATTTTCTAGCATAGCTTCTTTTTTCTTCCTTTTATGTTGTGTATGTGAATTTGGTCCTTTAGGGTTGGAGATAGTGTATCTATGCGTACTTTTAGTATTTGAACTCACGACAATGGGGTGCATATAGCATAAGTCACAATGGCTATGCTAACGCCCTAAAAAGTAAGAATGGTTATCTATAACCAAGTTAATTTTTCGAAGTAATATTACATCAAACGTCATAGAAAAGAGTACATTTGCTTTTTGTCTAAGTACTTCACCCAAAAATTACATAAAAGATCTAGACAAACTTTAATTGTCACTATGTTACATTTCGAGAGCGTGCAATTTCAATAATATGATAGTATAACCGTGTCAAAACTGTTAGCGGTAGTTCTTGTAATTTTCTCCTGTCTATTACCTTAAATCAGATAGACAATCCATCACGAACTTAGATTCTTGATAAGCATGCTTAACCTCAAGTCTCAACCGTCCAATCTAGCGGTATCAATTCCTGATGAGTTCCCATGATTATCACCTAACAAGTTTAATTCTACAGATACATAAAAAGGATCTTTGTCAAATAAATGTCACTTGGTGGTGTTGGCCAAAATAATGCAAGAGAATTGACGCATGGTACAAAGCAAAATAATACTTTTGAGTAAATGTAAACCAAAAAAACAAAAAAGAAAAGTAATGATATATGACACAAGCATTGACAAACATTCAGAGCAGAAATAAAGTAATGATCCATTAGGTTTGTTTCCCAGAAATAGCAAAAAGGCATAATCTTGCCAGGACGAGGTTCTACATTTAGTAAGTAGTGGCCAAAAAACTTAGACATCTCTTTTGGTGTTAATGCACTTCAAATTCCAATGGGATTTTCAGCTACTTCTTTGCTGACAAATTTTTTATGGCTTTTTCTGCATCTACATCATCATCAAAGACCCCTCTCTCTCTCTACTCATTCATCATCTTCCTCCTTTCCCACAAAACCCCAAAAAATAAAAAATAAAAAGGTTCCTTTTTTATTTGTTTATAAGTTGTCCCTTTTCTTTTCCTCTATGATATGATGCAATTCATTTGATCCAACCTTTGCTTAGTTTCTGACTGAATACTGAAAAAAAAAGGGCAGGGAGAAAAATGGCTGGTGGAAGAAACATGATGAACGAGGCCAACCAGAAGATCATCAACAACAACATAAGTTGCTGTAACAAGGTTAAGAATTTGTGGGATTTGAGCTGTGAATGCAACAATAATGGAAATGATCAAGCAGATTTGCTAGGTTTGTTTTCATGGCCTCCAAGATCTTATACTTGTACTTTCTGCAAAAGAGAGTTCAGATCAGCTCAAGCTTTAGGTGGCCATATGAATGTTCATAGAAGAGATAGAGCTAGGTTAAGGCAATCCTCACCACCTTATTCTCTTCAACACCATTTTAACCATCAGATTGACCCTAAAGTTCCTTTGATGAATCCTAACCCTACTTGTTCATCATCAACATCATCAGCATCAGCAGCAAAAGAAGCTTCTTTTTTTGCATTAGGTCCTCCTTCAGTTTCAACCATTTCCACAACTCCTCCATCAACTGTTGCTGAGATGAGAAAATGGGATAAAAGTGCTGATTTTGTTGAGCTGAGAAGCCATTCAAGCTTCCCTATGAAGTGTCCTGAAGCTACACGAAAAGGGATTTTTGAGGTGGAAAAGTTTGGTTCTTTAATGCATGAAAAGGAGAGAACTTCAGCAGCAGTAATGAAGAAGAAGACTGATATTGTTAGGTTGGAATTGGAAATAGGCTTGCTCAGAGAGGTTAAGGAAGATTTGGATTTGGAGCTTAGACTTGGATATCTTTAGACTCTTTGATTTTGGACTCCAACTTGAACTCTTTTTTGTGGGATCTTTTAGTCTCTTCAATATTCAAGTTGGATGGAGTATTACATCAAAGAATACTCTTTCATGAAGAAATGAGTTGGGGTGGTGATAATCTTCTCATTCCAGATGATGGCCATGCAAGTTAGTTTAAATTTGCAACTAGGTTAGACATATGGTAGTTTTGATTGAATAACTTATCTTTCTTTTGAACTGATTCTTATGTTAGATTTTGAGTCTAGACTAGAAAATTTCTTTTTTCTGTTCTAAGCTGATTCTGACATTATTAATGTTTATCAGATATTTTTACAGTACTGCATTAGGATCTTTCAAGTTATGCGGGCTAATGTGTGTTGTTTCCTTCCATTTCGTTTCCATTTTAATTTTTGGAAATGAGGATGTAGATCTAAATTCACATCTTTGAGTTCTTCTTCTGGCTATTGAATGCAAAGGGATCGAGTGTTAATTTCAAAGATAGGGATATATCGATTGAGTAAAAATATATTGTCAAAGAAGTGAAGTTAGGACTAATATGGCGCAAAGCATGAATCACCATGCGTCTAAGACCATTTCATTTGTGTAATCTTCTCTGTGTGCATTCCTTAAAAAAAAAAAAAAAAAGAAATTGCAAATTAGAGGGATCATTCAATCTAAGACAGACGTTGTGTTACTTGCAAACGAAGTGTAAAAGCATGCACACAAATTAATTATAGAGAGGATGAATAAACTTTGCTTCATTTATATGTTACATTGGATCATATGCTACGAAAGGGTAAAAATATGTTACGAAAGATACTATAACCTCCCAAAGAAAATTCTGATTCTTTTGGTGAGGAATTTTTTGTGACAATAGATAATTATATCATGTTTGGACTGATATCCATATACATATAATACTGGCGACTTCACCTTTCTAATATTCTTCTATTTGATTTCTTTATACATACGTTGAGCTTCCAATATTACCAAAATCAATAGTAAACCCCTTCACCTTTCTCTGACTCGAGAAAAACAAAAGAAAATAGATTTTTTTTTTTTTTGCTCCCTCTTGTCCTCTAAATCACAATCATCCTTAAAAAAAGAAAAAATAAATAAAAGTACTGTCAAATGCATGCATAGGCATCATTCAAACCCTCTTGTCTGCATCTGTAACATACATTTATTCTCTTCTTCATCATCATAAAATTTATGAGTTAAGAGGAGTTGGGCATATGTCAAAATAAATTTTTGTTTTCCTTTTTTTCTTTTTTTTGTTTTTCAATTTTTGATTGATATAAAGGGTCAGTGATTGGATGTGTTTGTGTGTGGTCTTTCCCGAAACCTGATAGTTTGCATGTTCCCGACAATCTCTGGGTGTCAAACTTCATCATGACCTTTCCTTAAACAGATTTTCATAGTTTTTTTCTTTTTTTTTAAACAAAATTGTTTTAAATATGAAGTCATTTACAGTGTTTTTTTGAAACTGAAAGAATTCCTCCCAATTATATTTCCCAACATAGTATTCAGGTTCATCACCACATCTTAAAATGTCCTTAGGGACATCCCCATCCCGGTCCTAACATATATCGATCTTCATGTCTTCCTTTTCTCACCAGTACTTTTATTTCTTTCACTACTAGTACTTCATCATCAACCTCACTAGCTACCTGGTCAATTCCAATCTTTTTTTATTTTTTTTTTCATTCGTTTAGATCTAATCAAAGCAGCTAGAGCATAATTGGTACTTGTGAAAATTCATTCACTCTGGTGCTTAAATTTTGTGATACTTTTGGAGGGAAACCTTTATTATGTGCACGTTTCTAGTTACTGATACGCAATAAAAAAATTTTTTTTTTTGGAGATTAATAATAATTAGCATGTTTTGTGAGTTGAATTTTGTACCTGCAGCTTATCTGACTAGTTAACTAGCAAGAGTTACTTGACTGGAAATGTTAAGTCGTGGTTAGATAACTACATGATTAGTGTTTACAAAATGTAGTGTAGGGTAATATTCAAAGTATGATGTTAAAAATAAGAATAATAAATGATGCGAAATAAATTTGAGACCTAATGCTCGATCGATCAGTTAAAATATGATGTTCGCTTTTTGCTGTTGTGATATTTTACGTAGAATAAAATAGATTGTTACATAGGATTAACTTTGTCTTAAAAAAAAAAAAGTGCACCTTTTTAAACTAAAATAATTTAACAAAGAGAATTATTTTTTTAAGATAGGATACATTTAAGGAAGAATTTTTTTTTATTATTTTTGTTTAATTTCGAAAAAAAAAAAAAAAAAAACGTTTTGAAGATAGAATGGTTCATTAGAATTACAATAGTATCTAGCTAGCCCAATGAAATAGGTCAGTATAGCTGATTGAAAAAGTACGTACAACAGGAGTTGTGAACACTGAACAGTAAATGGAGCTCATGTGTTCGATCTTCATCATCATCATGCACACACTTATGATTGGACTTCGGTAAAAAGATAGCCTAAAAGCACATTACAGCTGGGTTAAAAAGCATTCAGGAACAAACAAAATCAAGATTCCCTAAAAAAAAAAAAAAGATTTGAATTTAATTAGTTTTCGTCTTGTTTTATTATCACTGATCTTGAAGTTTATATTGTGTTTTACATACAATCTAACCCCATAGATAGAAAACATAATAAATAAACAGAAGTTTGGTTTATCGCAAATGCAAATAAGGTCGAATAGCTTGTTGGCGTGGCAATCTTGTTGGCCACCTGCATATATCTCAAATATTGATATTTCAAATTTCGTAAGTGAAAATGTACTCTCTTTGTCCTTAAAAAACATTTCATATTGAGTTTTTAATTTTATATTAAAATTAGTACAAATCTCATAACTTTACGTAAATTTTTTTTTTAAGGACAGAAAAAGTAGTATATTATTTTTTTTCAGTCGAACCCACGTAAAATACAAACACAATAATATTGTTGTACTCGGGGAAAGGGATAGGAAAGATCAAACTAGAAATGAATACTTATGAAGGTTCATGATTACTTAATTAGTTAATTAATTAATTTAATTGGTACTAATGCAAGAACAAGGAGACATACATTCTTGAGAATTCTAAAGTAAAAGGTCGATTTCGGGTCATGAAATTGAAGCTTGTGATAGCAAAAGAAAGTGACAACCCTGCATTAAAAAAAATTGACCTTCCCACACGGGTAAAGAGTTTGGATGAAAGTGAGACGTTATGGCATAAAGAGCCATTTTGCCAACTCATTGTCAAGCTTTTCCCTATCAAATACACACACACATGCAAAATTTTTCCTTATGTATTGCTTTCAAGGCATCAATTATAGATGAAATGTAGGAGAGAATATATGTAATATTTGAAGTCATATTGTGTAAAAACTAAGTGAAAAAACGAGGAGGTGTTGGTCAAAAACATATTGTGGACAAAAAAAAAAAATGGCGTGGTAAGGCTAGATGAAGGTCTAGATTCGGTTTTATCCCCAATTTCCAAACATCTCTTTGGTCCACAAAGAAAAAATGTAAAGACTTCATAACATAACGATTAATATTTTAATTTTTATTTGTTCTTTGGCTTCAATTGATGCTTTGAGATTCATAAGAATTGTTGTCTTAACCGTACAAAAAAAAAATTAATTAATTAAACTTTGGGTGCGCTTTATAAAATTATTCGAAAAGAATTACAACCAATATTGAGATCGAATATATATATATAGCAAAACTTAAATGGATAAATGTTCGTGATAATATGCTAATGTAGAACACTACAGTACTTACTTTCATCCAACGTTACTGGTTACAAGTTTCTCTAACGATTCCTTCTTTTTTTTCTTTTTGAAATGTCATTACCTTTAAGATAATTCTGACTAATGAGTGAGCTTTATTATTCCAAAATTAAAAAAAACAAAAAAATAACTATGACGGGGCGATGTTTCAATGCCTAATAATTGAATTGGGCCGTATATGATTTCATGTGACATTCCGGGAGAGATAATAGAAGTTTGGGTCCATCTTGTTCGAACTAGGACTTTATAACATAATATACGGAGGAAATAGCAGTTTGGATCTATATTGTGTTATAAAGCAATATTTTAATTATAGAATTTCTTTGTTGAAAAAAATAAAAAAAAACCAACGAAATGAAAAAAAAAATGGGGGAAAGAAATGAGAAAAGTAAATGGAATAAATACGGGATCCAGTGGTTTTTTACATTTATTCATATCGTTTTTGTTATTCTGTAGAATGATGTGATGAATTTGTCTAATTTTGAAAATTTTGAGAATTAATTAATCAATTTAAAAACTTTAGAATGAACGAAAAAATATAGCATAGAGGTTGGGATGTACTCGTCGATATTTTATATTTTTGTGTGGTCCACATAAGTTATGTGACTTTTCATTGGACGATTTCATGAGTTCAAATGCATTAGTCTAATACTCTAAACTAATAAACATGAACTCTGAGGTTTATTTCAAGGGCTTCGTTTGGCATGGCAATGGGGAAAAGGTCAAGTTGTAGCCGAGCTTTGGCGATGGTGCAGGGTGGAGATGACGATCTAGGGATGCATGGTAGTCTAGTTTGTGGCGTTCTTTGTTGAAAAGCAGTTGAATGGTTAGTTTGGAAGGTTAACTTTGCGGTAGATTATTTAGCACATATTACTTCTAGAAGTCCAGGAGGATTATATTACTTATCTGCTTCGCCGACTGAAGTTACACAGTAATTAGAGCATGGCATTGTCTGTGTTTCCTATCCTAAAAGTATTTTAGTTTGTAATTAGGGTTCGGCCTTCATTGTACCAAAAAGAAAACATGAACTCTTGTGTGGGGGTAACTTTCAAATTAAGCTAATTAACAAATCAGAATCCGGCAATTATCGGAGATTTCCACTTTAAGTTGACTAATCATTCTAGTACACTTAATCTAATAGAGTAATTGCTTTCTCTTCAACTTGTTCATAAGTATATAACTCAAGATGATCCATGCAAAACACGAGGCACTGCCTAATTTAAACAAAATTGAACTCATTTTAAACTCTTTAATTAATTAGTTCGTAAAAAAATGTATCCAACAACTGGCCTTGGCTGTTTGATACTACTTATGTAATCATCAACAAATGAGCTTCACTTGACAGTTCTAAAGTGATATTTTGTTCAGGAATATTTATTGTTTTTTCCTCAAGAATAATTCTCGTTCCAATCTAGCTAGCACAGCTTTTCATTTACACAAGAATCCAATAATTTAGTTTTTTTTTTTTTTAAATGGATGGCTCCAGTGAGAATCGAACTCTTGACCTCCTGGTAATAACCGTCCCCATCCTAATCCCCTAACCACCCAATAATTTAGTTATTACAAAAAAAAAAGGCCTACAAATTAGCAAAGTACTTAGGGCTCATTTGATAAAATTTAATTTGGGTCTGAAGTCTGAAATCTGAAGACTGAATCAACCGAATTGATTAAGTTTGTCGTGTTTGATAAAAACCAAAATCTAAACACTGAATAAAATGCCTAAAATCTGAAGTCTGAATACTGAAATTTAAAGTATCTCGATTTATAATTTTATCTAAAAAAATAATTGATGTAGATGAAACTATGATAACAAAAATAATAATATTAGTATTAAATAATGTAATAAAAATATTTAAATTTTATTATGTTATTATTTTTTCAGTTAATAATAATGTCATATTTTATCATTGTCAAAAAAAATTCATATTTTATGATAAAGATATATTGATCATGGAATTTAATGGATTTTAATTTTTATATAAAAATAAATATTTATTAAATAAAAAATAATTTACATAAATTTTAATTTAGGACTAGACATCATGATTAATAAAAATATTTCAAGATAAAATATCAAAAGTAGAAACATAAAAATAAATAAATAGAAAAAAATCGTCTCAAGAATTCAGTTGAGACATAAGTGATAGGCTTATCATTTATTTTTAGGCTCATATTTGTACTATCATCTTATACCCACTTAATTTATTAAGACATCCTACTTTGAGTTATCAAACACACTTAAAATTTAAGTCCTTAATAAATTAAGTTCTTAAGTAATTAAGTTTTTATGATAATTTGTTATCAAACAGTGCTAATCAATTAAATATTTAATTAATAAGTTTAAGTGCTTAACTGGTTTATCAAACAGGGCAGTGACGGATTTAAGGGGGGGTCAGGGTGGTCGATCGACCCCCTGGCTGGCCAGATTTGTCAAATTTTTTCTCAGTAGCGTGTCCGTTATTTGAAATTTTTTCAGTTCGACCCTCCAGTGACGATTGAATAATCCTATTTTCGACCTTGCGATTTGAAAATTCTCGTTCCGTCACTGAAACAGAGCCTTACACTATCGCAAAATTTTAATTAATAGTATAACAAATATGACAATTATTTTGAAACAAAGAGAGTAAATTTTATAGTGTTTGTCATTGATGACTTCATCGAAGTACCTTGTCAAATGAAAGAGAGGAAGAAAGTTCATGGGAAATTGCCTAAACGCGTAACTTGGCCGTCTGCTTCAGTTTCAGGAATTAAGCATAAAACTCTTCATTGCTCAAAGAAGACGACATTTGTTAAGTTCTAAATATTTGTTTACTTCATTCTGAAACGACAACTGTGTCATCGAGCTCTTACGTTACTGTCTCATAGCTGAAAAGGGTAGTCGAACATAGGACTATTCCTTGGAATTGATAGCTGTTTTACTGAAAAAAAGATTGAACTAGTGGAAATAAAAGCGTTAATTAATGACAATTTATTAGCTTGTTTTGTAACACCAATTCATCATCACAAACCTAGTCAACCTGAAAAACTAGTGTTAGACTGTTCGGCTGGCTTTAGTTTTTTTTTTCCCCTCCCCTTTTTAATAAATTAGTACTTTCATTAATAGATTATCGAAGGTGATCCAATACCAAATGAGAGCTAAAGTTTGGAGACTACATCCGTACAGTTTCAGTTGTATATAATAAACTAAGTAAGTAGTTTTTTTCGGTACAAAGAAAAACGACGGCCTGAAAATTAAATTAAGACATTGTGTGGAAGAGAGCGAACTAATTGTAAGTAGTTTTAGTTGAAGAAGTTGGGGATTAAACCTTCCTAGCTAGTTGGTAAAAGAGCAAATAATGGCATTCCCATTTGGTAAAATCATTTAGGGAAAAATTTCAAATTATAGTAATAACATAATAAAATTGGTCATTGAACTTTGATTATATCAAGGATTAATGACGCTCTTGGAAAAATAACAATATTGGCTCCTTTCAAACTTGTTGCATGGGCAAAAGAAACAGATGGAAGGAAAGAATTGTTGGTAACTGTAAGTGGTGAAACCACAAGCATCTCCCCATATGGTTCTCCAATCCACGACCAGTTAAAAAAATCCTTTTAGAAATGATTTGGATGATCAGTCTCGTCTAGTCGTCTTAAAGGATTTTCCGGCTCATTGAAGATGGGTCTGTCGGTTCACATGGTTAAATCTTGATAGCAAAAATTTCGACGCAGTAGTTATTACTTTTCAATGATTTTCTCTTTTTAACAATGAAAAGAGGCAAAGTTTAAATAATTAAATAACAACTAAGCGTGGGTCGACAACCCGAACATATAATGGTACAATAACAGTTTCAATTCTTATGGAGGTTCATCCAACAGTTCCTGCTAGTCATCACAACTATAAATTGCTAAAACTGTCAAGGATTTGCTACAAAATTCTTGTCACGGTACACATAGCGTGACGTGATCACAAAACGTTTTAATGATACATTTGTAGCGTAATATGGTCAATGAGTTTAAGAAAAACCCCTTATCCTAGGATCTATAGGGACATTTATCCATGTAGTAATGAACCTACATAAGCATTTATGAATAATCAAGCAAAGAATTCGAAGATTGTGATACATAATTACATCTAGTAGAAGCATTGCGCAATTTTGGAAATGCTATACGATATGCCTGCAGCTATCTTGTCTATATTTTTTAATGTTATGCTCTCCTTCGTCTAATCAATTATGTTCACTGAATTAAAACAATACGAGGAACATGATTTTTTTTTTTTGTTGAAAGAGGAGTGACTTCGTGATATGTGATGGTAAAGCGCGAGCATTTACATATATGATTTTTTTCCAATTAGGTAATTAATTAATAATTAGATAATTGTTTTTTATTTCATTATTCTAGAAGGGGAATAATATGAATAAATAAAATCTAAAGCGACCGTATGGTTTTCCCGGGTTGAAAAGTGAGGATTTCCAGATCAATTTTTGGCAGATTAATTAAGGTCGCATTAACAAATACTACAAAATGATCTTCTCTCAATGTCACAATGCAATATTTTATGTGGAAATCCAGAATAAATTTTTTTGTATCTTTTCTAGCTCTCATTCAAGTACTAGTATAGTAACAATAGAAGGAGACTAAGTAGTGAAAAAATTTGCTGAGATAATAACATATCTCAGACCAGGCCGGCAAATAAACAAAAAAATAAAAAACACCTATAAACAGGTCAACTTCGGTTGTAAATTTATTGAACAGACAATTGACAAATGCTTAGCAACTGTCTTCTGATATTTGTCTCCCCTGCTTTTGTTTTCACAACCCTAATTAATCTCACTTCCTTATAACTAGACTTTTTTGTGACTTGGTTTTCCTTTCTTTCATTCAACCAAAAACAAAAAAAAAAATATTGCAAGAATTCATCAACTCAATTCCTCAGGAGGGTTTTCAAGTTTTATGGGAACTTCAAAGCATAGCAACTCGGCCGAGACATCAAGCGAAGGAATCGATCAGCCGGAAAAGCTCATAAGCAGTGGTGATGATAACGCCGGAATTGGCCGTTCTTATGAGTGTACTTATTGTAAAAGAGGGTTCACAAATGCTCAAGCTTTAGGAGGGCATATGAATATTCATAGGAAAGATAAAGCTAAGGCTAAGCAGAAAAACAACAACAACAATCATCATCAGAAAGATGATCATCGTCATCAGACTTCTTCAATAAGGAACAAATCCAATGAAGATTATGGTTCTTCTTCCTCCATGCAATTTGCACCAAATAATAATTTCCAGGAGAATCGATCTTACAGCACAGCGATGGCTGCTTACCTGAATTATCAGCTTTACTACCCTTCTTCTTTGAGCCCTAATTCCATAAATGGTGATCAGTTCTCTAGTACTTCTCCAAGGTCATCAGCAGCCTATCTCAGCATGCATGAATTCCGTGTGGATCAAGGCTTGAATCTCAGTATTAGCCCTCCAAATAGCGCCGATGGCGGTAATAATGTTGAAGTCGATTTGGAGCTTCGTCTTGGCCATCATCCTTAAGAGACGAAGATGTTTATACAATTACAGTTTTTATATATTTAGGTGAGTGATGAAGTGCTTGGGGTTTTCTTCATAAACCTAAAGTGAGTTCATACAAATGATTCATTTTTTCCGGTTTGTGAATGTCAGTTATAGTTTTGGCATCATTTCATCCTGTTGACTTTATTAGAGTCATTTGGGATGAAGGGCTTTTTTTCTTTGCGGATGCAAGATCTGCAAGTTTAATTGCCTAAAGGAATTATGAATCAGTAGTATGAACATCACTTGTTTGATTTCACCAAGATTTATTTTCCTTGGTGTTGTTTAATTTCTCCTCTTTGAACTTATGAAATTTCCAGTTATAATGGTACTTCTATTGTGTTACTCTTTGATCCAAGATTGTATTTAAGTGTTTGGTTTTTGCTTAACATTTGAATGATTCATGATGTCCTTTTTTTTCTTGAACTCTGAATTGTTCAAGATATTGTTCCAGCTAATTTCTTTGAGTTAAAACACTTTTAGAGTTTGTATTATTTGATGCTTTATTTCATTGGTTTTATTCTTATTTGATTCTTGGTATCCTTTCAAAATTCCTCCAATATAGTAATTTTGTATCCTTATTGAGGATTTCTAAGGGTCACTCTCTCTAGTCTTGTGTACTAAGTATTGCCTTGTGCAATCTATTTTCGCCTTTGCTATAACTCAAGATCACAAGAAATTCTTTAGTAACACATCTGTCAATTTCTTTGATTCTTTTTCTTCTTTTCGGGTTTCCAAAGATTCTGTTATTGTACTAAGTTAATCATCTCGAATTTTCTCATCATCAAATCTAAGCATTGTATTGGCTTATATAGATATGACAGTTCGATGATGATGAGGTTCTTCTGATTTAGCTAAGGTTGATTTCCTTTCCAATGTTACATAGTATTGTCATTAAAACCCCCCAAACAAAAGGGTGAATGCGGTATATATGTCGCGATTGGAATGATGAATTTGATTCGGGTTCTGATATCATTTTAACCAATGCTTTCAGTTCTTGTTGAAGTGTTATCCTTCAAACTTTCTTGTTCAATTTTGGCCATGTCAAATTGTAACTAGTTGCTTGCTGTTATCCTGGTTCACTGACAAAGGGAACTAATGAACAAATAATTAAGAGCTAGCTAGACACATTTTCGAGTTGGTTCTTCGTGTTAATATACGCTATCATTCGAGAAGAATTAACATTTGTGTAATCACAATGTCATTCTCATCTTTGTTGTTTGCATAAATATTCTGTAGAACTTCTTACATCTGTTATGTACAAAATCTTAGGTTTTGGGGTCTAACTAAAAGTAAAGCTAAACTAGTCAACCATCCCACCCATCAAAAAGAGAATTTAGTTATTGTTATAAACACTAAATAGCCTGTAAAACATGCAAGAAGTAAAGCTAAACCAAATCATTTTTCAATATCTCAAAACTAACCCTTTTAGTTCTTATTCAGTACCGCCTATGTAACATCATGTCCCACATTGCTATCTGACAAATTGAATGACCTGTATATAAGTCTCGACCTCATAACTTACAAACAACTTGAGTTAACCAATTTTGACTAGCGAGTACGAAAGCCTGAAAGTTGTTAGGTCAATCTATGAGATTGGGATGTTATAGCCTAAGACTAGCTAGAAATTAAAAGCAAGCACATTAAGCTCTATTGTCTGCTGCGAAAACAATATACCTAAGTCTACGCAGCACTTGAATTAAAAGTTCATCAACTTCCCATCAAATATACATGTCGATTATGCAGAACTTTCAACGAATATTTTACGGAAGAAGAGTAAGAAATTGAAGGAAGATGGCGTTTGCTAAAAGTTACAGAAGCATGTCACTAGTCAATGTCATGTTTTAATATATATATATATATATATATATATATATATATATATATACACCTAATTACTTTAAGGTTTTTGACAGGTTGATATCTAAATTAATCTTTGATGTTTTCCTTCTTCTAACTACTGTTATTTGATTATTAATAACTTAATGTAGTGACGTTTCTACAGTTCACATAAAGTGATTCTTTTTCTTTTTATTTCTACTTTTTTAATTGTTATTATCAATTATTTCTACTAGTAAATTCGATCTGTATGGACCGTAGTCTTTCGGAACCAATTATATATTCAACTATTTTCCCTTTAAATAATTCGTTAGGATTTGTGCTTTCTCGAACTAATTTTAGTGCACCAAATCGCTATATGCTTTAGCTTATTCGATTGCAAGTAGAAATTTGTTTTTATTGATTCTGTGGCATGTGGTTATGGCCAATTATTATAACTATATAGAAAATGATGTTTTGCTATTATTCATTGAGAGGGGATGAAATCCAACATCTACCATGAAAAGGACGACAACTTGTTTGATTTTTGCCTATGTACTTCTAGAAACCTTGGTACCTATATAGAGAACTCAAGTGTGGTAGAAATTAGTTTGCTATATAGCTAAATGATGCGTTGCTGCGATGAAGACAAACGCGTAAATTAAATGTGGAAAATGTTGGCGAAAGAGATTGTATCTATCCATTCATTATTAATGTTGTTCCAATTGAAATCTGGATCAGTCGGAGCAATAATTTCGGACACCTGGTGCAGAATATATAAAAAAAAAATGTTGTTCCAATTGCTTCTTGAGTAGAATTTATTGTCTTAACACCTTAGAGTAAGGCAGTAAGCCAAACGAGAAAGTATTTTACACAACGCTTGTAGCCTTGTTCCATTGATCCATGATTCCATGTACCATATAGGATTGCAAAGACATCGATCTGCTGTGGCGAAAATATACTTTTAGGCAAGTAATGTACCATTTTAATTAGGAATTTAAGACCCTTTAGAATCTGTAAGTGGTTTTGTTAATTCTTTGTATACTGACCTTTTGGTCTAAAAAGAAGAATCTAATTTGTTGTACGGTTGTAATTCAACAAATTAATGAGACTCTTTGAGATGGAAGGAGTACTATTTTTGCTTCTCTCTCTTCTTTTTTTTTTTTTATGTATATATATTGGTAAGAAATCTCCAATAATGATTCGTTGATGTATTTTAGATGTTTACTCTTCCTACATTAATGATAGCTAATGAGTTCATCTTTGGCATTTCCTCTGCTGTGACAAGGATATGATATCAATAAGCTAGACACGCCACGAAAATAGCATTTACGGCTCCTTGACATTTTAAAATTGATTAAAAATTATATCTAAAGAGTGTATATAGTGAAATGAGAAAAAAAAAATTGAATGAAAGAGGTTCACTAAACCAATTTAACCTTTTTTGTCAAAAGAAAAACTTGAACTTTTAATTCAAAACTAATTTATCATATGCTCCAGTAACCTTATATGCGGTTTAATATAGTTTCAATATAGATTCAGATACTCGATAGCGTCACGATATATTTAAACATTATCATAACTATCATTACCCTTCAAAAATTTGCTAGCCACTAATGTCCATATAATTATCTTCACGAAACAATCGAAACATAGCCGCCTAGTACTTTCGAGTCTGTCCCCAATATAAGAACAAGAATTGAAAAAGACCAATGTAAGAGTACTTCATCATTGATATTTCATTTTCTTTTGATAATTAACACCCATTGAATATAACAGAACAGAAATAGTACTGGTACTCCAAATTGAACTTACGTTTTATGTGGCCTACTGCTTTTATCTCGTGGGTTTTTTTTGCTTGTTTCAATTCATTGAAAATTTGAAAGAGATGATTGATGACCAACCAAAGAGATTGGCATTTGGCATATATATCTTCCTCAAAGGATCAAAATGACAAAGTGGTGTGATTAAGACTCCAACTAATGAGTCCAATCAATCCACAAAGTCAAAAACTATGGGTATGGGTTCCCAAAATGCAATCAGCCCATAAAAAACCATAAGTGGATTTGCAACTAAGTAGTTTTAGGTTGTTGAAATGTCTTATGTTTGTACGAATGTACAAGTTCATATCTTTGTTTGTACAATGTATTTACTCGTTTCGTCCTACAATTATTGTTCAATTTCGATTTTTATTTTAATTCAAATTGTACTAAAAGTGAAATCTCAAATTGGACAATAATTTTAGAACAGATGGAATATTATATTTTGGAATAGAAGAAGTATGTATTAAGAGTTAAGATTAAGAAAGATTAACCTTCTAGTTTTGAAGTTTGATTCTTTTAGAATTTTTTTTGTGAAGATTATTTTTGGCCTAACAAACAATATATAATAACAATTACAGTGTGTCACCAAATAAGGTTGTTTGTATTTTTGTTATAACGGTATTAATTTTGATAAAGTAAAATTGATTAATAACGATGTTTGCTTATAATATCCGAACCGAAATTCAGATCAAGAGTGGTTGTGGATTATACAAAGTAATTGGTAATTAATTAATCTGGAAAGGCGATTGACCATTACTTTTTGGAGGCCTAACGATCCAACACTTGGACCAATCTTGGTTAAAATCTTTGGAAAAAGAAAATGTACATGTCTTAGCAGCCCACATTTGAGACATGTTTTCCTGATTGTCCTAATGTTTTTTTCTGATTGAATATAACACATTGCTGAAGTATATCCATGATGGAGTTAAATTTTCATTTACTTTTTCTTCGTCCTTAGTCAAGTTTAAGATCTTTCAATTATAATATTTCAGTTATAAGATCTCTCCCAACTAAGGGTTAAGAAAGTTGTAGCCGTAAACGTTTTAATCTCGTTCGCTTAATTATGTCTCTTACTTTTCTTCTTAAAATATCAAAGAATTATATCAATTTTTGTTGTATCGTTTCAATTTTATCGAATGTTTAGAAGAAATAACATATCAGAATATCAGAAACTACTAAACCCTTAAATTTTAATCCGTAAATGGAAGAAATGGACGTAAATGATCCACAACAAATCTGAAAAAGAAAAAAAAAAGAAAGAGAAGAAAAAACGCTGCATAGAAAGAATCAAAGCAAGTTTATTAGGTACATCTCCCCTCATCTATCCTTATTCTCTGCCAACCTTTACTGCAAATTGCATCGAACACACTCAACAATATTTTCTCCCCTATTACTACTACCTTTTCTCTCTACCCATCCCTATTGCCTTGATGATAGCGTACAATGATAAAATTGAGATCTTCTATCTCTACCTTTTTACGCAATTTTTAACCAAAATATCTTATTAGTCACTAATTTTTTGAGATTAAAGAAATGAATAATGAACACCATCGAGAATTTCATTTGACAGATGATGACGAAAAAAGTTAACACTTTTGATTTGTCTTTCGTTCAAAACTTAGGCTAATTTTTTGGTAGGTATGTTTAGGTTTTGCCTCAACAACTGTTTTAAATATGGTCACTTTTTGTATGGTTTATTTATCTTGAAAATTCCTAAAGTATTCAAATAGGTCGCATTTATAATCCGTTCCGTATGGTATAAATTTTATGTTCAGTTGACTTTGAAACCAAATTTTCGTTTTACATTCGGAGAATTTTAGACCAAAATAAGACGTAACAGACTAAGCTCTATAAATTAATCCCTTTGTTACGGCTCAAAATCATTGATAATGCTGTTTTTTTTTCCCCTTCTTTCATTCATGGGAACGAGTTAAAAAAAACAAGATACATTTTGCAATTTTACTTCTAATTACAAAAAAATTAATTTAATATTTGTAGATTTTATTTATTTATTTATTTTGGTTTCTGGTCCGTTGACATTAAAATTGAGATATTCTGAAGTTGGGCTGGTGGGGGAATGGGTTCAACTATTTGGTCATCCTTTACGTCAAACGGCAGTAAAAGACGAACTGCCAAACAGGCCACATTAAGTCAGTATAATTTGCAGAATGTACCTCTCACATTCAGCTTCTTCTTCCCATTTTCTAAATTTTTGGAGTTTGGAAGAAGCAGCCAGGCCACCCCACGCCGATTTCATAATTAAGCAATCAATATGTTTCACGTGCTTTTTTCTCTACGCCTCGATAATTACCATTTTTCAGTCGACTGTACCGTAGTCATTCTTTTTCGGACTTAAAACAAAATAAGAGTTATTATTATCTCGAAAGAGTAATAATAAACATATAGCGGAATAAGAAAAAATTGGATTCGTTTTTATTCGTATCTTCTGTGATGTTACTTAGAAATACATACATCCGATGCACCGATACATGCACAAGGATTTAAAAAAAATTAATAATAATGAATGGTTAATTTGGTTAATCATAAAGGATCTCTTCAAAACTAGATAATCAATTAGCAGATCTTTTTAATTATGTCAACTCCCAACTTGACATTTTCTTTCTTGAATCATTATGTCTGAGTTCCTTGGGATTTTACAAGTTTCCAGAAATGTTACATGTGAAATTCCAATGGATATTTTGTATATAAAAAACCAAAGGAAGTAAAAAGAAATTCAAATGGATATAATTTTATGTATTTAACTAAGGAGATATTATGGTTTCATGCACATAGGAACTTGCTCCAAAGGCATATATACAAATGCTTAAATATGAAGCATAGAGATTACGATCTTACTGGAACACATGATTTTGGTTCTTTACCGCCTCGTATTTCTGTATCCTTCAGTTCTAAGGTATATTTTTTTCCTCTTATTGTGGCGTATAAATATGGTAATGTTTGTATTGAAATTTAAAAGTGTTGTAATTAGAATCATTATATATATTAAAGGAAAGGAAGATAATCGACACATGTCGCTAATTGAGACTATCAAGTATCACTTTTAACTTATTATCATTTTAGCTCTTAAAGTTTTATTTATATGTTACTTTGTCTTCAATTTTATCGATTTTACATTTTCAAGGACGATTAATTGTGTCTAATCCTAAAAGTCCCCTTGCATATAAATAAGCCATAGGCATCTAGACATAATTTGTGTATTTTTTAATATATTTTTTAATCCAAACATAACATTAGTTAGTGATGACAATTTTTATTATATAACTTTTCAAAATTTTGTTGTAATATTTTTGGCCAGATCTTACAAATATAGATCTCATAAATAATATCAATACCTCTCATTTTAATCTAAAATTGATTAATCAAAAACATTTTACGGTTTTAAGAAATATTAATAACTACATTATCTAATTAATTCTTTTGGAAGATAAATTTTCAACATTGACAAACCCGCGCAAAGCGCGGGACACGTACTAGTATTATTAGTACTAAATACAGTAGAACATCGATAAATTAATAACATCAATAAATTAATAATTTTCTCCGGTCCCAAGTCGGGACCAGTAAAAAAACAAAGACAATCGATAAAATAATAAGATAATAATTTTTTTAAAAATCCCTATGTAAATATAGGTCCTGTCAATATCATAAATTAATAATGACTTGAAATAATATATATATATATATAAGCTAGTAAAATATGAATCTACCGATGTTTTTTTTTTCTTGAAATTTATATCTAAAGAAATTATAGATATTATGAATTTTTTGCATGATGTATCCAACCATTAACGAGAGGCTAAAGATTTCCCATAAAAAGGTCAAATCTCTTTTAGTGTAGGCATATTACGTAAATTGGGTATGTAATAAAAATCAAGATGATGGTGGAGTTTAAATTCTAATGCATAAGGGATATAAATAAATAAAAGAATATAAATCTTGAATGGCTAGCTTAAAAGATTAATATTCTTTGGATTTTTTTTAAATTAATATTATTAGTTTATCGATAAATTAATAAAATTAATACATTGATAAATTAATAATTTTTTGGAGTCCTAACAGTATTAATTTATAGATATTTTAACTGTATAGTAAGATAAAACCTTGTCATTGTTTCATGACTTTTACATGCATTGTTCCTCCATTTTTTTGTTATCTTTTGACATCAAGGAAAAAGTTATTCAGCAAATATTATTAATTTATTATTTGTAGATAAAGAAGATAGTATACGAGTATGCCCTATGATGTATAATCATATACACGTACATATACTTTGTATTCTATATGTTCCGAATTAATAAATACGTCACAAGAATTTGATAAATAAGTATTCATATATTCTGTATGTTTTATTATATGTTTCGAAAAGCTTGTTTTAATTATAATTTGTACTCCCTTTGTCCCAAAATTATTGTTCTGTTTAGAAGTTCACCTTTTAGTTGAATTTTTATTAAATATGAAAATCCAAACTGGATAATTATTTCGTGACAGAGGGAGTACGAAATAGTCTGTTCAATAAACCACCTATGAACCAGATGCCACATTCATTATGCTATTTTTTACTTATTTATTTATTTACTTTTCTTCTTGTTCGAATGGAATCAACCACTTGCCACGTGTTGATGCCTTTGAAATTGCTTAAATTAAGCTAACAAACCATGTCCATATGGAATTGCAATGTTTGTTAAGTTCTGCTAATAGTACCATTAACTAAAGTTAAATCCTTTGTGTTGTTCTTTTTTGGATCAAATGTTTTCTAATAAAATATTACAATTGAGCCAACTAAAATTTTGGGAATTGCCAATTTGATCCCAATCTCAATCTCATCTCCCGATTGAACCAGATTCATAAAATCTCACGGACTTTATTACTATTTGTCCTATATTTTAATTCATCATCTGTTTGTTCCCAATGAGCTGCCTCTTGAGTGAAAATTCCCTATTTAGAACATTTGTCCAGTTCTTATTTTCTTAATTGGAAGCAATGCTTTTATGAAGTACATACTTGCCTTCTAATGGTACTAATTTACTCGGTAACGGGAAAAAACAAACGAATTTACTCATCTAGTAACAATACATATAGGAAAATTCCAAAGGCAACCGATCGAATTTACTGTTAGCACCGCACAAATAAACTAAGATAAAATAAAATAAAAGTTTAACAATGACACATATGACATTAGTAAAGGTAAATCAAGAAAAATTCCTAAAGATTTACCTTTACTTGTTTGTTATTATTATTTTATATAAATTGTAGACTTTTTGATTGAATCAGTATTATTCCATAACAATGGTCATATTCACATCTAATTAGATGTTATGGCCAAACGTAAATTGAATTATCATTACTACACAAAATGAATATTATTATTATGTAAAATAAATATATCTTTATCATGATAAATTAAATATTGTATTTACCATTACGGTTAGCTCCAAATTTTTTACGAACATAATTAAAGCGGCTGGCGACCAAATATTAATTTTAACCCTTCTTTTTATTTTTCACCGGAGGGAGTTTAATACCTGCTCAAGTGTTGCAATGATGTCAGTTTGAATCCCACCTTAAATGGTGTAAGCCCATTTATAAACCTATCTATATATTTATAGACCATAATATATTCACTCATTGCTAATTAGTTTTTTTTTTTTTTTTCAATATTGTAAGTTGACTGTGAAATTGTCATGATAATGAGAAAGTTGGAGGACCGATGAATAATATATCAAATAGTACAAAAAAACTTAGGATGGATGAATGAAGACAGAGGGAAGACTTCTTATTAAAAGTTCCCAATGGGAAAGTGAATACACCAAAATTGAATTCTATGTGCTGGTTAGAAGGGGGAAAAAAAAAAAAAAACCACACTGTTTAACTGTTTTAAGTAAAGAAGAAGAAAGACCATTAAGGCAATTACTACTAACCATACTTTATTGGGAGTATGAAGAAGACGTTTTTTTTGAAGCAGCAAAAGTTCGTCTAGGTTCTCTTCATGTACTGCAAAAAATCATCCGGCCCCACCCTCTCCGTCCCTTTCCTTTTCTCTTCTTCCCCTTTTCTTCAAATCCCAAAACTCCCTCACTAGATTTTTCATCTTTACCAAACCAAATGTTATACAATACAATACAATTTCCTCTCTCTAAATTTACACACAGTCACACAGCGAAACAGAGGACACCCTCTTCCCTCCTCCTCTCTTCCTGTCTGGTCTGTTTTTTTGTTATATTACACAACTCTCATTTGAGGAAACTTCGGTTTTCGGAACTCGAGCTTTTTTAATTGAGAAGAAACACACAAAAAGAAAAATAAAGGACGGTTAGGATTAAAAAAAAATGATTCTTTTTCAGCTTATTTTTAAGTGGGTTGTGCTTGAAGAAGGAGGGAGTTGCAAGTTGTGAACTTGGTTTTCGACGACCCTTTGGAATGCTTGGAATGAAAGGGGTGGCGGTTTTGAAGTCCCTGTAACGGATTAAAAAAAAAAAACTTTGAAAGATTGCCCCTTTTTCTTATTTTTTCAGGGATCATTTGTGTGGGGAAGTGGTTTTGGTTTACAGGGTTTTGGCTGTTTTGGTGGTTTGGCGGTTTTGGGTGAAGGTTTGGTGGTGATGATATCAATGCCGGCTGAAAAGGATCGATTTTTGGCGGTTTTGGGCAAAAATGATGAAATGGAGGGCGGTATGGAGCTTCATGTCTGAAAAAAATTGGGGATTGAGACTTACATGTGTTTGCATGTGATTAGGAGATAAGATCTGAGAGCTGGTGCCGGTTTGTTTTCTTGGTGTTATTGTAAGAAAACATGTGGGATGTTGAGATAAATGGTAAAAATTCTAACATTGTCCTGCATTTCTGTTTTGGGGTTTTTTCATTGAGGTCAATTTTCTTGGGCCTGTTTTGTTTGGTGTTCTCGATTTGTTCCTTACTGGTTTTGGTTTCCCATTACTTAAATTCAAATAGAGCCTGCATTTCTGAATTTGGGATTCCTTGAATAGATGTTTATGTTGGCGGTGAGCCTTTGTGTATTTTTAATTGTTCATCACTTTTTCCCTTTTCTTTGGGCAATCAGAAATTGATTTTGGTGATTATGTTCATTTGGGTTCATGCTGGTAATCAGCAGTTACACAAGTTCAAGGCTTTGGCTTCAGCATTGCGCCTTACCTGTGAAAGATGTCTGTATGGGACATTTTAATTTCTTGCAATTCCTTGCTGCTGGGAATCTTTTGCCCCCTTTTTTTTGGGTGCAAAATTATTTCCTTGCTCTGTTGCAGACGGCCATTTTGATTGTTTGCTTATGGTTTCTTGTTTTTGAGGCCACATTCCTGTCTTTTGTTATGTTATTCTGTATTTCTGTCGTTTGGTGATACTACTGATGGTGTCCCATTGCCTGGTAAATTTAGGCCCAGAGCTATGATGGTCGTTATTTAAATGAAGAAATGTAGTGAAAGCAAATGGTACTTTACTTGTTTGATTTGTTTGGTTCAGCTCTTCTTTCTGCTATCATGTAATCATGTTGCAATTTAATCTAATAGCAATATTGTGATGCATGAACTTGCTTTCTTCATTCTTCCTTCTGTGTTCTTTTAATTCTTTGCTGGCCTTGTGTAATACATTTGCAAAAAATATATGGCAAGTGGATTGTATGTTTCCTTCTCTAGATATTATATTTAATATTTTGATTTATTTCTTCTACTTGAGTGGGTTCTAAAGGCTGTTCATTTTCAAATTGACTAATTTATTCTTTTATCCCCCATTCAGCCTCAGCAGTTTGGGAAAGGAGTGAAATGACATTATAGATAAGTGGAGGAATGGTTCCATTGGATGAAATGTGGAGGAGATTAATAGCTGTGCTCTTGGTTCAAACATTCCTAATTTCAATCGCAGGTGCTGACAATGAGTTGCCCCGCTGTAATTGTGATGATTTTGGATTTTGGAGTATTGAGAACATTATGGAATTTCAGAAAGTCAGTGATTTCCTAATTGCAGTGGCCTACTTTTCGATTCCAATTGAGCTCCTCTATTTTGTTAGCTGCTCCAACATCCCATTTAAAATGGTGCTACTGCAATTCACTCTTTTCATTGTTTTGTGCGGAATGACTCATTTTCTGAATGGATGGACCTATGGTCCTCACACCTTTACGATCATGGTTGCACTCACTATTTTCAAGGGCCTCACAGCTCTGGTCTCAGTTGCCACTGCAATAACTCTGGTCTCGCTCATTCCATTACTGCTGAAATCTAAAGTCAGAGAATTTATGTTGAGGAAAAAAGCGTGGGACCTTGATCGAGAAGTTGGAATGATAAAGAAGCAAAAAGAAGCTGGCTTGCATGTTCGCATGCTCACCCAGGAGATTCGCAAATCTCTTGACCGTCATACTATATTGGAGACAACTTTGGTTGAGCTATCTAAAACATTAGATTTGCAGAATTGCGCTATTTGGATGCCTAATGAGAACAAAACAGAAGTGAATCTGATTCATGAATCCAAGGCGAGGAACTCTTCAGGTTTCCATGATTCAGCCATCCCAACCAGTAATCCAGATGTAAGAGAGATCAAAGGGAATGATGGAGTGAAAGTTCTTGAGCCTGACTCTGCTCTTGCAGTAGCAAGCAGTGCGGGAGATGGTGATCCTGGACCTGTAGCTGCAATTCGAATGCCGATGCTGAGAGTTGCCAATTTCAAGGGTGGAACTCCTGAAATGGTTCCTGCATGTTATGCGATTCTGGTTTTGGTTCTTCCTGGTGGACAAGGCAGGTCTTGGGGGAATCAGGAACTTGAGATAGTACAAGTGGTTGCAGATCAGGTTGCAGTGGCGCTCTCCCATGCTGCAGTGCTGGAAGAGTCGCAGCACATGAGAGATATGTTGGTGGAGCAGAACCGAGCCTTGCAGCGAGCAAAGCAGGATGCTTTGCTGGCAAGTCAAACTAGAAATGCATTTCAGATGGTAATGAGCAATGGGTTGAGAAGACCGATGCATTCAATTTTAGGACTACTTTCAATGATACAAGATGCGAATATGAGCTCTGAACAACAACTTATTGTTGATACTATGGTTAAGACTAGCAATGTACTTTCAACCTTGATAACTGATGTGATCGACACTTCAACAAAGGACAGTGGAAGGTTCCCACTTGAGGTGACGCCTTTCTCACTTCATTTAATGATAAAAGAAGCTGCTTGTCTAGCCAAGTGCCTTTCCGTTTACAGGGGCCATGATTTTGTCATTGAAGTTGATAAATGCTTGCCTAATTATGTCATGGGGGATGAGAGACGGGTTTTCCAGGTTATCTTACACATGGTAGGGAATCTATTAAATGGAAGCAATGGAGGGTGTCTTTTCTTTCGAGTTCTCTCAGCAAATATGAGTCAGGGAAGGAGTGATCCTGGTTGGGGGCCATGGAGATCAAGCTCGTCTGATGGGTACACATACGTAAAGTTCAATGTTGGAATTTGCAAAGATGGATCTCGCTTGGAGAATGCATCTTCCTCTTTACCGCTTGGGCGTCAGAGGTACAGCAGTGGTGTGGGCGAGGAAGGGTTGAGTTTCAGCATATGCAGAAAGCTTGTTCAGGTATATTTTATGTTCAACTGTACTGACTCATAAGAAAGCACAGGCAAGGTATTTGTCTACTTGGTCTGGCTACTACTTCTTACATGATCCTCGATTAATAACCTTGTATTTTACATCTCAAGAGTTGCACATGGTTTTCTCAGGTTTACCACTTGTCTCCATATGAAAATAAAAGGTTTAAGAGGAATCATATTATAAATTGATGTTAGAACTAGCCTCCTCTATGAAAACTAAGTCCCTAAATAATTTTTTCTAAGCAAAATGTTGTATGCTTGCGGGGCTTAGGTTTATTTCCATATTGCAGTTCTAGTTCATGAAACTAGCGGGGTTGGTAACTGGCACGAAGTTGATATTTCTGTGCTCCTATCATCATACCTGTTAATTGTTTTCTGAAAGTACTCTTGAAAGATCGCTTTGCTTACACTAATTGTCTTAATTTATTTACACTGGGAAGCCAACTCACTTAATATTTGGTCATTAGTGCCTTCCATTTGCGTACTACTGTGTTTCAGAATTTAAATCACCTTATTATGTTTAAAGGATCTGCCATTTTAGTCTTTGGTTACTTCTGGTCATTACTGTCTTTCTCATTTCATTATGACTTATCATTGATTATTTGATACTTACAGTTAATGCAAGGAGATATTTGGATAGTCCCAAATTCCGAAGATTTTGACCAAAGCATGGCTCTTATTCTTCGATTTCAGAAACGGCAATCAGTTGTGATTAGCATATCTGAACAAGGGAGGCCTTCAGAGCATAGATACTCAAACTCTCTCTTCAGAGGACTCAAAGTACTTTTGGCTGATGACGATGATGTGAATCGGGCAGTTACTCGAAAGCTCCTTGAGAAACTGGGATGCAGCGTTTTGGCTGTGTCATCGGGATATGAATGTCTTAGTGCTCTTGGGCCTGTTGCGTCTGCAATTCAGATTGTTCTTTTGGATCTGCACATGCCTGACTTGGATGGATTTGAAGTGACTATGAGAATTCGAAAGTTCCGAAGTCGCAATTGGCCTTTGATTGTTGGCTTGACAGCAAGCGACGATGAAGACATTTGGGATAGATGCTTTCAGGTTGGGATGAATGGAGTAATTCGAAAACCGGTTCTCTTGCAAGGAATGGCAGATGAGCTTCAGAGAGTTTTTGCTCAGGCTAATAGAGTTAACCCTTTTGCTGTCGGAATGGAATAGACAAACTTTCTTTGGAAGATGCATTCTCTTCCATCACAAGGGTCCATCATACAAACAGATCATATACACAGCATGCAGAATCTCTTTGGTACAGAGAATTCATCTTCGTTATTCTTTTAAAATTGAGTTACTTGTCATACAGGTATATCAACTGCGTAACTAACAATGTTGACATATAATTTAACTTGTCACCGACACGGAAGACCGTGAGGTGGAATCATAACAGGAGAGGCTAGGAGAGAAAATGTATTTCGTGGATACTGGATATAGAGCTTAATTTTTCTATTGATGGGGAGATTTTCTCGCAAACATCTAGAAGAGAGAGTATTGAATTTGTAGAGAAACTGATAGATTTGTAGAAGTCTTAGTCTAGGTCAGTAATCTTCCTATACTTTGAACATTTACAAATAGAAGGCAATTTTGTGGTGCTTTGTTTAGAAGTGTATATTGTTAAAAGTGTTGCAAAGTCGTCCAAATATCTTTCTGGTTGCTGCTATCATAGCATTTCACTAGCTAGCTCCACAAAGGATAACTGTTTTCTGATTCTTCCAGCTTTGCGCTTACGTTATGGACCCAAAATATATGCAACATCTACCAAAATCATATTTAACTCTTGTCAGTTTATTTATATGACTCCAATACGATTCTTCTGATATCTGCAGTACTCTAATACAGGCAAAGTGATGAAGATACTTCTCCTGTTCAGGAGTTGAGCTTCTTGTTCATCTAGTGATCACCTAGAAATACAATCGTAGTTTTGATCTCGTTACATAGGGTTGGCTATATAGATCATATGTCTATCATAAATATCGGATATTATTCCCCAATGCGAAAGCTGTTGACTAATAAGCTGCACATGCCAAGAATGTGATGACCATCTGTGGCAGTTCTATGGTTCTTTTTGTGTGTTATTAGGAAGCCATTGAAAGTGGCAACGTTATGGGGTCGAAACGTCTTTCTTGCCTTGTGATGTTTCTTTGTTATGACAAATTGCAACACCATGCATGAATATGGATTACGTGCATGCACAAATTTCTTTATCTTTTCTTTTTCCTCCGTTTGAATGCCATCACGCAATGGTCCCCATCCTTTTTATCTCCCCACTTGCTGACCCAATGATTATAAAATAATATTCTTTCCGTCTCAAAATTATTATTCAGTTTAAAAATAAAAATTCAAATTAGATAATAATTTTAGAACATAGTGTAATAAAATACAGTGAAATTATGGAGTGAAATGACTTGATATGAAAGTATGGAATTAACTAATACCATTGTTTGAAGTCTATTTATATGTATGTCAAATGAGTTGCTGTATATATTGGCTGAATTTAGTGTCATCATTATTTCCCCTAAAGACATAATAAATAATGTAGGTCATGAAACAATTATGTAATATGACTAAGATATTTTGGAATTTTGATGACTACTACTTAACACCTTAATTATTTGTTTCATTTTCAGAAGTTTTAATTTTAGTGTATTCAATTTCAATCAACTCTACCCCATTTAGGCATTTGAGGTGTTAGTTGATTTTGGCTTACTTGGACTAATGAAATGATTTAACATAAGCCAAGGTGGACCAATACCTTGTCAACAACATTAGTTCATGCACCATCTCGTTTCCTTTCCTTAAAATCCCTCTACACTCAAAACCTTGATGTCCCACTTGGGGCATTTTCATAAATTTTTTATGTGCAAAAACAGTGGCTTAAAAAAAATTATATTTGATAGTATCTTTTTAACAAATAAAATTGTTGCAATGGACAAATATAATCGCTTTTGTGTATTCATACTCTTCAAAGCATGATCACAATTTAACTTAAAAAATTATTTTTGCCGCATGAACCAAATCGACTTGCTTGGTATATTCTGATAGAGTAGTGATATATGTAGGGAACATTTGACAAGCAAATTTACAAAAAATACGGTGAATGAATTTTAGTTATTCCCTAACTTGAAATATATAAATTCTTAAAGGAAAGGTATAAATATGAACGGTTATGATTCATTTTACGTAAAAATTTTATAATTTTCCTACATGATTCATTATTAATTTTGATATTCTTTTTGCAATTTCCCTACACGATTCATTATGAATTTTGATATTCTTGACTTCCACACAAATTGTTGACGCATTCCACGAGGACCAATGACGAATTCGTGTCAAAGGATTGAGGATTTTGACGAGGAATAGAGCACTAGGAAAGTGACATTGATTTTAACTTGAATGATGATGATTGATGAGTATGATTTTGTAAAGAAATCATTTGTTACATTACATGATTGCTAGCTAATTAAGCTGCACATCTACTTCAATTATTCTAGGACTGAAAGTTAGTATTAGCCAAGGGGGCTGAATGTAGAATTTTATGTTTTTTTAATAAGTATTCAAAGGAGAAACACTAGTATTGCAGTCTTTTCACGGCATGGAATTGCATGAAAAAAGAATCTGATGAGGAACTTTCTGCTTGTTTTAATGATATTCAAAATAAAATAACAGCAACTTGAGATGAGGGTAAATTTTAAAACCAAAATGCCTGCATTCTTTGAATCTAGTCCCAGATGGAAATTTTCATAACTATATATATAAATATATATATTCAACTGCTACTATCATTTTGCTTTGAGCAAATGGTCCACTTAAAAATGTAAATGAGATAATATTTATTGTCTCACTTATCGTGTATCGACAGTATTGGTATACAAAAGGAAACAATGTGATAATACTAATTCCAATTTTAATTACGTAAAAAAAGCACTTAATTTTTGGTTTGTGTACACGTAAAAAATACTTATTAATGAGATACTGTTAGTACATTTTGAATAACACAAATATTGTTATTTTAACGTTATAGAATGTATCGGTTATAATCTTTATGGGTTTTGAATTTTAATTTAACAGGTATCAAAGAGTGTTATGATGAAATTCATTAAGTATTTGGTAATAATTGTGTCTTTTATGGCTATACACATGGTTGTAAGAGTTAGTCATTCTTCCCAAAATTATCGTCCAGTTTGAGATTTACGATTTGAATTAAAAATGAAAATTCAAACTGGACAATAATTTTAGGAGAGAAACATATCATAAATAATAAATACATAAATAATAATGTATTAATAGCCAGTTGTCCTAAGAGAAACATTGCCTATTAACTTTAGGACTCCATAATTCTACACCTCCTTGCTAACATAGTTAAAAAATTTCAATGGTCGAGTGAATATTGATCGAAACAAGTGTTTAATTTAGATTTGGTTACACCTCATTAATTCATGTTTATTATACTTATACCGATAAAAACTATATTCGATGTTATCTGAATAAGTAACTTATATAATTTCCGGTTAAAGTTCTTTAGTGATTCAGGTACATATGTGCTTTACAAAATTGCACATTTCCAAGCAGCAAGTTGTGCGATGCGAATTCATATAGTCAATGATATTCCCAAATTCTCCCTTCGAATTTGAGGTTCTATTTTCTCTGTAATTTCTTTCCTCACTTTGAAGCCTCACATCTTGAATGATGAACTCGAAATCAAGAGAAATATACTTCTCGTCCCGAAATAGAGTCGTGTTTATTGAACTTCAAATTACAAAACTTTTTACTTTTGGGACTGGGTTCCTATAGATATAATAGTGTATAGTTGAAAAGGCATTCTGGTAAACCACACAAAATGGTCGAGGCCAAGTGTCTTAAAGTTTTGATTCTTTTCCTAATTCCGTATAAAAAGTTGTTTTTATTTTTTTTAATATACTAAATCTTTAACAGACAGATTCCAGGTGGTCCATAATTTGATTCTCCAAATGTAAATTAAAAAAACCTTAAAACAAAGTTGGACTTACTAAATTGGTAAGACTGGCTAGATCCTCGGCTGTCTTTAGTATAATAATCTGATCATCTGATCAGATCCGGTCAGAATCTGATGTTTGGTTTTTAGATTATTGTTTACTATTTTTGCTCTTACTAATTTTAAATAAATAACACTTTTCGTCCTTCTAAGTTTCCCAATATCACCTACTACTATAAACAACTTTATAATATAGGACTATAACTTAAACTTTTTTTTTTTTTGAGAAAATATAAACTTAATATAATATGAATACTCCCTTCACTAGTTTGCTTAGTCAAGTCAACCATCACATTATCAGAGTATATAATGATAAAATATTCACTTTGCTGAATTCCGTTCACATTTTTGCATCTCACTAGCTCACCTTATGTGACATTCATTTCACTCATTACCCATTAAATTTATGGAAAATATGAGATGAATTCGGTATCATGTATAATTACAGGTTATTTCAATTATATATTTTCTTCAAATTTTACAATTATTTATTTTAAAGTTAGAGTTTATGAAATATGTAACAGATTACGACCATGATCAAATCAATGAAAAAGAATTTTATCGTCATTTATTTCATTGCATGGTATTAATCATTTAGTTTCTTAAAAAATCAGATAGACAAATTTATGTAATCTAATTTGATAATATAATTATATAATAGGACGATTTTGAGGCTTTGAGCACAAATTTTCAAATGACCTCCAATTCATGAGTCTTTTAACCAAACCAAAAATGGTAACCATGTGATCAGATTTAGCCAAAAGATTAATTGAAATAAAACGTTAAACGAATTCCTCTCCGGCCCGTACCAAAATTCCTCCCCCATCCCGAAACTGAGGGCCGTACTAATAGACCACCAAGATTAACCATTTTCCCACCCATGATTAAAATTTTTTTAGAAGCTTACTAAAAATTGGGTTCTGAGCCCATGTGCCCCAATTTTAGTTATTTTTCCAAACAACGCTAAGCATAGTTACCATAAATGTATCCAAAGTGATTGTGGAAGAGTGGAAGAGACATTTCCACCCTTAACTATAGGTCGAAAGTTCGAATTTCGCCACAGGCATGGAACAACCTTAGGCTAGTTGTCTCACCCATCGAGGTGCCTACAATTCATCGAGAGAGATTAGTCACTCTTGCCGACGGTGGACACCTTACAAATATGAAAAAAAAGAAACAGAAAAAGAGAGAGTTACCATAAATATTTATCTGGCTAGAAAAATTAAGGTGCCTAATAAAATTACTCTGTCTGTCTCAAAAAAATAATTTACATTAACTTTTTCCCTCCCACCAGTTAAGTAAATCACAAAACTTTGAACAATCGAAACCTTAGATTATAGAAAGCCAAGCTATTGTAAAATGTCAATTAATCACTAAAGCTTATTTATTTCAATTCATTACATCCGTAAACTTGTATTTCATATTCCATTCGACCAAAAAAAGATTTATTTGTTACATAAGGGAGTAAGAAACATAGTTTCTTGATATTTATATATTTTTTTGGCTTATGAATTGTTTTAAGAAAATATTTAAATCATGAAAGTCATAATAATAAATACAAATATGATATTTGCTCCAACCAATAACAAACAGTGGTAAACCTAGTACAATATCATCAATCTTTAGGATCGGACGCGTTGCGTAAATTTCTAATCCAATGCAAAACTCTTGGTACCAGAAGACTATTTCTAAAACATAAACAGAGTGTAACTATTTTATCTGTTCTAAAATAATGTAAAACGCATTATACAGATTGCATTGTGACGGAGGTTTGTGCATAAGGTGTTATAGGCCGAGTCCAGCAAGTGTCTGGGCTGAAGCCTGTAAAAAACTAAAAATCCTTCCATTCCTGTCACTGGACCATTTCTTTGTTAGTTTGCTTCCCTTAATATTTTTGATATTTATCGACCATGAGTGAACATCTTATTAGGAAAATGTATTCAATATGTAAATCAAACTCTTAGATTACATTGTTGTATATTTGCTGGTGATTTTAGTTTACACCCTACTATTATACGTATATCTATTCAATATCCTTTTGTTGAATATGGATTCTATGTTACTCCCCTGGCGGGGAGGATTGGATGGATTTTGTTATTAACCATGAGCTTTG